CAACGAAACTAACATGGACAGTGTGTTCCACCATGCTGTATGATAAGCGTGAGGATTTCATTTTTCTCTCGTGTTAATTTTTCATAGCATCACCCTGTATCTACAACCTATAGTGTTAACATGTCGCAGTTGATACGATATTGAAGGATCTGTTCCCATTATTACGATTTTCGTGCAAAACGTCGTCAACTGACGGACAAACTTGCAATACAGGGTTTCAAAAGATGTCGGTTGATGAAAATTATGAAAAAGTTTTACAGTCATCATAGTGATGTCATTGAGAAATATAATATTATTTTATATCTTTGATTTTCGTCTGTTTGCTTTTTGGTTCCGTTGGTTTATACGCTGTTCTCATCTGAGAATGTGATTTACATGACAGATATCGTCAATAAAAGATAAAACGCTGATTCTTCCGGTACATCTAGTCTTATTCTCCTTGTTGTTCTTTTCAGAAGTTTTCGTGTAAATCATCCCTTTGTTTATATTTTGCCCTAGTTTTATTAAATTTGGGTTTGGATTATGATTGTTTTAACTTTGTAGTATTTTCTTGTTTGCTGAATGTTTTATGAATCTACTTTTGTAGAAACAATTTTTAAATTACATACACAGTTAACACTTGCTTATATTAACTTTTCAGGAACTAAATGAAGATTATCACATACAAGTCACACCGTCTGTGTCCGAAGAGAATTAGTTGGTATGATTTTGAATTCAAACATATGTTATTTTTATCTAAGATGGCAATTGGCAAGTAAGTTTTACCAACTGTTGACTGCTCCTTAAATACGGGTATACAACTATACAATAACAATATGTTAACAAATTAGAATACCAAAGATAGAGCAACGTACTTCTAAATGTTTTGTACTACATGCAATTTGACTTGCTAAAGTTTATAAATTAACGAGAGAGAGAGAAAGTCTAACTGACCTTTCCAGCTTTGACAATGTTTATATTGTCATATAGTGGTATGTTTAGATCACCTTTAAGGTGTATCAACCTTGAAATTCCCATCCCCTTTAGACCAGGCGAATTTTGTGTTTAGTACAATGCAGTTGTTGTCATATGTAGGACAAATAAGACGAAAGGAATGAGAATAATCTTCACGTGGATGCCCATATAGACACTAAGTTGAATCCATAAAATTTGCTCGGAAAAGATTACAGTTAAGAGTATTCGCTTGGTTTCTCAGGCAGCAATTAAGATGTCTAGTTTTCTACCTCCATAGTTCTTTGTTGAGTTTACCATTTACCGATATTTGAATATTTGAATTTTTTTTTTTTTTTTTTTTGCGATAAACTTGAAAGTATTTACAGAAGTTTCTAATACATTAGATGCAAAGTTATTTGCTGTATTACAGAATAAAGACAGCTTGCGAGCGTCTCTTCTCTTACAAAGTGGTAGCCAACACGTTTCACAATATAGGAATTCTGTATTGTGTATATGGACAGTCCTGTAACTATTCTTGCAGCTTTTAATTGGATTTTTTTCCACCATAGAGAAATTAGATAACACGGAGTTGTCACATACTTTACATGTATATTTGGTATAATTGGCAGTTTTTTTTATTCATCCTTTCTATGGTATTGCCTGATTGTGAAGGATTTGGATGCAGATGGTCCCGATATACAAATTCAAACGTTCATTTCCTTCTACTATATATCTGGTCTCGGTATCAACAGAATGTTCTCCAAAATCGTAGAAATCGCTCAATTGACATTTCACCAGTCATTGCAAGATTTCTCTAATTTATAACAGAGCTCTTTCTTTATGATTTTATCAGAAATAAATCCAGTGTGTACATATTATATAACTTATCAATTTATTTACATGTAAAGTGTTCTCACATTCGTTGAAGGACATGTGAAGTTAATTTTATAGACTTTCTGGATTGCTAACCAAATTGATATAAATAGTGAATGAATTGTATAACATGCGTGAGATAAAATGTTATTATCATGAAAAATAGTATTAAACTTACCTTTGTCATAAATTAAAGGCGATAGGTGTATTAATTCAAATGAAGCGGTATCAATGATTCCATGTTCCGTATTAAACTCATTCTGATACCCTGAAATGTTAAAAAATAACTTAGATCCTGTTTAATCATGTATGATATGTACCTGTAAGAGTTTCAGGTATATAAAACATATCCTTCAGGTACTAGCACTTCTTATCGCTCACGGAAGGTTTTCATATTATGTATCAGCGAAGTCTAAACTTCTGATTCATTTATTTGAATTATGATAATATATTGTGCATATATACAGGAGCCGGAAAACGTATCAAAGTGAACGTACCTTTGAGGGTCTGCCTTGTGCGTTATAACTTCAGCTACCTATTACATCAAGTGAGACACTTCTCTAGCCTTGATGAAAATTTTAGAAGACGGAACCCTTACAGTGGTTTTCGCAGAAAGCTTTTTCACAGATCTGATGTTGTAAGTGTTGTTTCAATCAATACATTTGCAACTCGGAATCAATGTCCATTAACATTCCTATAACTGTTAATATAATCTCTCACTCTCATACATAGGCAGGTCGTCATTTAATGACTGAAGCAATTGATAAGACTCTAAACAAATAAAACTAGATTCACTCTTCCTTCCATTAACCGATTTTTTAACATCGTTCCATGACACCTGAGATTTCATGATTGAAACTCAAGAAAAATCAAGGAAATCCCAACATATCAACATAACCACCATCCAAACTCACATTAAAACAAGCTAAGGCAAAGTATCAACAACAACAACAAAAACAGAGACTCCTGAATAAAATACCAGGAGAATAAGACCAGGTGTTCCAGAGGAGTAAGTGTGCTACTCATTAACAGTTTTAAACGGTTGATAATCAATAAATAAGATAATCACGTGGTCGCCATTGATTTGCAATGTACTTTTATTGGCTTGACCTTATATATATATATATATATATATATAACGGACCTCTGCAAAGACAACCTATTGTGATATATCACATATATTAGTTAAAGATGAGGATAGACAAATGTGTTATAACCCCCCAAAACAGTCTCACTTTCCAATCGTGGAATTATTACTACAGTGTTCCCCTCTCCCCCACGGAGTAGTAAGATATATAAATACACTTCCCCACACACGTTCTCGTTTCGATTCTGAGTTTTAATGATCGTTTATTTTACTCCGTCTTTGGTGTCGTTGTAGAAGGTGATAAACCTTGAAAAAAATGACTCAACATATCTGTTTAAATCAGCTTCCCCATCAAGCAAGCATTGCGTTAACCTTGACTGCCGGATCCGTCAAGATGGCAGCCGTGGCGATGTCATATCATATATATATTTCTTTTTTATTTTACATTTTGTTCGATTCCCTTTGTCAGTTTGCATGCATTTACATGGTAATAATCTACAAAAAATGTAAAAACCTAGTATATTACAAGCCAAAACAGTATGCTATTTATATATTCATTTAGTTTGTTTGTTTGTTTGTTTGTTTGTTTGTTTGTTTGTTAGTTAGTTAGTTAGTTAGTTAGTTAGTTAGTTAGTTAGTTAGTTAGTTAGTTAGTTAGTTAGTTAGTCAGTCAGTCAGTCAGTCAGTCAGTCAGTCAGTCAGTTAGTTAGTTAGTTAGTTAGTTAGTTAGTTAGTTTTAACGCCTTCATTCCAAAACTAAATGGGGCAGTAGTAAGTTTCGGTTCCGCAAATACAAGGATGCTGGCAAATGATCTAAGGGAAACAACTCTTAGAAGACCTTGGTTGTAGAAAGATTTAACCTGTGTTTCCATACATACTCATGCTAAATTCCTCTTCCTATGCATTGAAAAAACAAGTGATAACCAGAAGGCATTTGGATAATGAGTCAAATAAATAATATCTACAAAGACACGGTAAAAGCACACAGAGATGTTTTCTATTTAAGAGAAAAAAATATACATCGAACTCATCATTAGCTGCATTTTATCTCATGACATAAATACATATTAATTCAAAATGCAGAAAGGCCTAATATTTCCTTCCTTGTGCATTTTTCAATAAATATGGCAATGGTATTTAATCCTTAACAGTAAACGTCGCAATTATATTTAGTTTTGAAAAGCATTCGCTTTATCCGTGCATTCTGTACAAGAAGAATACTATGTGTACCCATGAAGACTAGTATCATCGCTTCATGGCTACTTACATTCTGTAAAATAGGGGATGAGGGTGGATAAAAACCTATATGTGTCATCTTTATTTATTTATTATCATTATTTATTTATTTATTTATTTATTTATTTATTTATTAATAATAATTATTGTTTTTTGTTCAGTGTTGATGGTATTGCCATATACAAGATATGGGGATATGGTTTCCTTTCAGTCAATTACAGCTCCTTTAATAACTTTCACATTGATAACTGGTAGTTGAATGATAAAATGAAAGTGTAATGTAGTATATATAGGGCGCCATTTTACTTCACTAATGCGATTACATGATATCACCACTGAGTTCTTTGTGGTGATACCGCATGTTCCTAATGCGATTACATGATATCACCACTGAGTTCATTGTGGTGATACCGCATGTTCCTATTGAGATAGTTATCACCGATTCCGACAGAATAGAATCATTTTTGGCATTTGACCTTGTTAATATCACCATAATGAATTGTTGAAATCATCAAATAATTTAAGGGCCCATCACGGATATAAATATACCAACGTTAGACCTAGACCATGTCAGTGGTAATATCATATAATCTTTGTACTTACAAATATGCTTCTTGAAACCTTTCGTAAAGATTGCAGTGAATATTTTTGCTTTTTTTAAGATGAAAATACTATAAACTCTAATGTCACAACTATCTATTTTGAGTAGATCTTCACTCATAAAGAATTATGCATCGATACCTTTATTTTTCATATTGATAATTCGGAGTTATTTCCCTTGAACTTCCTTCGTCGATTTTGATTGGTTTAGATCAACAGAAGAGAAAGCATGGCCGCCAGCTACAATTTCATCTCGTCGTTGTTGTTTAATTAGTTGATAATTCTGTTAAAAAAGGCAATTTGAAGATGTTTTGACGGCACGATCAGTACTTGTATGAACCTTGCTTTTTTCATTTAATTTAAACTATGCCTTTTATTTGATAAGTACAGGAGATGTAAAAGTTGTCTTGCTGATTCAGCCTTTCTGTCGTAACTTGGGAACGTAATCCATCTACAGAGGCTGGAAACCATAAGGATGAGGGGCATGTGAATTGGACTTATTTGCCATTTTGTAAATAAGTGTGTTACTGTATTGTTTTTTGTCACGTGGCAGTAATTTCAACTGTAAAATTGTACTAATTATCAGAACTATTTATGAAATTGAAATATTGATACCATGTGAGGGCAAACATTTTGACAGTTCTTGCCTATTATATCCATTGTTGATGTCATAATTCAAGAATTGCGTCCCATGTCATGGCGGAAAGTCAACAAGCAGCTGCCTTACTTGTGGTAGGAGAAGACGGAAGTGTCAATGGAACGAATGGTATGGCGCTCGCAGCAGCACTGAATGACCATATAGAACACCATGACAACAACGAAAACAGCGTCCAAGAAAATGGACAAGAAGACGGACCAACAATTGATATTATCATTAACAACGTAGTGGCGAGTTACAGCACACGATGTCATCTGGACTTACGCAGAATTGCTATGGATGGGAAACATGTTGAATACAAGCGAGAATATGGTGTATGTGTTCTGCTTCTATGTGAATTCTATCCCATTTACCTAATAATTCTGGAATACTTACAGTGATCTGGTCTGTACTAGTTGTGTGAGGACCCATTATTGTGATTTATCCATTGGCATTATGTTGTTTTTGTCACTTTATGGCACATGCAGTTTTTTTGACAATTTTGCTGATAGAAATGTGAGTGTAAAATGCTTTATATCAGTGGTAAAATGCAAATTTTACCTTAAAAGGTACCTAGAATATTATATCAAGCACATAAAAATCTGTTATGGTTTTGAAATGGTATCTTAATTGAGACCCTTTAGAAGCAGATATTTTGCCTTTGAGCATGTCAAATATCTGTAATATTTGTGAAATTGTGTGAAATTGTATCATAATTTAGACCCTTCAGAAGCAGACATTTTGCCCTGGAGCTTTGTTGCACGCAATTTGATATGTTGCAAAAAAAAAGATAGTTTTTGAAAATCATGAAATACCCTCCAAGAAAAATTTTGTATATTTGAAATAGAAGTATCCTCCTTTGTGTTGATAGCAATTTTGTTGAAAAATATAGCTCAGAAACGTTTTTAGTATTCTTTTTTGAGTTTTTTTTTTATCTCTTTATTGTTTCAGTTTTAATGCATAAATGGATATAGCACTTCATGCAAGAAAACAAATTTTGAATAAATGTTGGGTCTTGGCACACAGGTGCACCTGCAGGGTGAGTCCCAAATGAGGGAATTTTCACATCCAAATTTAGTCTGAAGCATTGTTGGGTTAAGGGGGAATCAGTTTGTACAAATGGTAGGTCTTGGCCCCCTGTGGCCTGAGAGGCAGGGCACAATAGGGGTAATAGAGCAAATGCTTTAAAACCCTACTCCTCCCATAGGAGTGATTGGATTTTGCTCTGAAGCATTGTTGGGTGAAGGGTTATCAATTTTGAGAAATGGTGGGTTGCGGCCCCCAAGGGCAGAATGGGCAGGCCAAATTGGGGAAACAGAGAAAATTTCTTGAAATCTTACTTAAGGATTGGTTCTCAGTTCCCAAGGGCCTTAGGGATGGGGCCCAGAAGGGGAAAATTTGCAAGTTCTTTAAAATCTTCCACCTCCAATAATAATGAATGGACATTGCCCAAATTTGATCTGAAGTGGATTGTAAAAACTACGACAGGAAAGGTAGGCCCCATCAGGGAAATTAAGTTCTTTGAAGTCCTTCTTCCATACAAGGGTATTGTCCAAGTTTGGTCTGAAACCATTTTGATGAACAGTTAATTACCTCTATTCGACCACAAGGATGGGATCCAATAGGGAAATTATACCAGAAATTGTTTGTCATATTTGATATTCTTTATTAAATGGCTAAATAGTTAGCCAGGTGAGTCATGCAGGCCCCTTGGACCTCTTGCTCCTAGATGAATTCTACCTCTACAACCAAAAAAATCTTATGTTAAAACGCTTTAGTCAAATTACAATAGCTGATGTTGATACTAATCATGCTGTAGGATGCAAGATTTTTCCCTCAAGATTTCGGACGAAATAATTACCAGGGTAGTAAGAATGTGTGGGAACCTCATTGAGATATCCTATGTTTTTTTATTTTTTATGTAAAAGAAAAGCGTAATTTGTGCAGCATCAATTGAAAATTTTATCCAAAATGTGATTTTATATCTACATTCCATCTATAATGCTATTTGTATTTATGGTATCAAATATTATCATTATAGATGTGCAATATGAAACTACGGCGGCCATACACCACAGCCACTATTTGGTCTTCTGGGAAAATAACCTGCACAGGAGCCACCAGGTATGTAGTTCCACTATACTGACACATGTAGGAAGTAGCAGGGTATGTTTATTTCCATTGTATTAATGTATACTTTACAGTGTCATTGTATGCACGTTAATAATGGTAGGGAGTCCTAAGTTTGCCACAAGCTTAAGGTATATTTTTACTGTACGAAGATTTTCTTCACTAATACACTAGGGAAGGCACTTGCAAAGGATGGAGACCCGAGTATATACTTTACTTATCTAATGCCTATTGAAGAAGAGGAAGTCCAAAGGCTCTTATTTACACTATACTTACACTTAATAGTTCTGTTGTAAACCTAAGTAGCTACTGTACCATGTACAGTAGGGATGTAGTTGTAACTATACTAAAATTATTGTGTAGAGATAGCCTAGTTACTTCATCAGTTTACCAAATATCACTTAATTTCTCCTGTTGCATTTTGTATAACAAAACGTTCCAATAATTTGGAAAAAAAAACTTTTTTTTTCAATCCTCAAATGAAGATTTTGTGTAAAATATAACAGGAAATTGACTAATTCATGTGAAATTTTATGAGATAATTATTTGAAATATTGACATGTGGCCATAATTTGCCATTTTATAGAGAAATATTTGAGTGCACGCGAATTTCATGTTTATTTATAAAGCAAAAAGGAGAACAAGAAATTTCCCCTGATGAATATAGAAAATATCACCCTTTTCAGAATATGGTATTTTCCCCCAAAACATACATTGATCCCTGTTTGTCATGATCAATAAGATCCAAAAACAGTACATATTATCTATTGACTAGTAAAAGTACAGCGTTTTTATATCAGTATATTAAGTAATGGCAATTAAATATGGAGTTCAGAAAAGTTTACTCTTATTCCTGAAACAGTTAATCTTGTCCTACATATTGGAATACATCCCTCCTGGATTGCAAAGTACATTTATGGGATTGAATGTCATGATTCATTCCAAGCATATGTCTATTGTAACTAGTCAGGTCAGGATAAAATGGAAAAGATTTTTCATTTTGATATATGAAGGCTACATCACAGTAAAAGCATTTTTTTCAATTATTTTTTAGATATGGAATGGACATATTGTATATACATAATATTAAGTTGTGATGCTATCTCAGTGCTTGTAGTCAATCTTGATTCCTAAATGTCCTATTTCATAACTCAAATTGTATAAGACTGCAGAAATAATTTGCATTGACAGCATGGGAGACAATCACATACAATATATACAATTTATTTCCATCAAATATACACTAATTTATATTTATATGTACCAAGTCTTACTCCAAAAACCTTTCACATAAAACAAAAGGATAGCTGGCAAGTACAATACTGTTCCTTACAATAGGGTAATGTCAGCGTTTTGTTTGTGGAATCAGGTTGCAAATTGATAACGTCATCAATTTTAACATATTTCTTTGGACATTGTTCATGGCAAAATGATAAGGTTTCATAAAATTTTACAATTTGTTACTTTCTTTTTCAAGTATTTTAGAGAAGTAATCAAAGGTTATTGTGTCAGTAATTCTGTGCTCTCCCTCAAAATATATGTATATATATATCAAAAATGTGTTATTAATACTGTTATTCAGATGTTAATCTGTCTCAAATTATGCGATTGAAGGAGAAATACATACAATATGATAAGGGAATCATATTTGTTTCAGTGAAGAGGCATCAAAGATTGCTGCTAGGAGGTTTGCGCGACAATTACAAAGGATGGGGTTCAAAGTGAAATTCTCCAACTTCAGAGTTGTCAATGTTCTTGGAACCTGTATTCTTCCCTTTAAAATCAAAATAACAAGTTTTTCAAGGAAGCATACTGAACATGCAAGGTACTGTATAGTATTTCAGATGCTGGTGTCCCCAACAATTCACTCTTTCAGTATTCATGCTCTTAAAGTACTGTACTCAATATTAGATCCAGTTTCCCAAGATTATTTTTCTTTTATATATGCTTATACTTTTTATAATATGTGTATTTTAATTGTAATCAACACCATCTGAGAAGATTGTGTAGAAATGCTGTAAAATGATACTGAATTCTGCCTGCATAATGTTCGGCAGGAAGTGTTTAGCAGTGTAATGTGACAGATTGACATGCTACAGTTTCTATTATTTCAGTTGTGTCTTGTATCAGAGTTATAGTGATGGTAGTGTAACAATATTTTTCTTTTTTGTTAAGCTATGAACCAGAGTTGCATCCAGGTGTCACATACAAGATCAAGGAACCTAAAGCCACCTTGAAAATATTCTCAACAGGCAGTATCACGGTTACAGGTTTGTTGAATTTTGATGTTATTTAAACATTACAACTTACAGAAATGTCTGGATAACATATAATGTTATAAAAAGGATTTTGTTAGACTGATTCCTTACGTTTGGTGCATGATTCTTTATTTGTATCAATGGTCAACATTACGTGTGTTACAGTGAACATCATTTTTGGTCATGTGATTTCCTACCATTGATCAAAAATGAACTAAACACAGGACTAAGCTGGGGACACACACCTTACATATTATTCCATCAAGACAAAAACATGTTGGAAGACAGTTTTTTGTGACCTTGATCTCAGTAACCTTGACCTAAATAATGATGTAATGTTGTTTGTAATCTTGACCTTTGTGTATTCTAAAATGTTTTCTGGTTTTAATATATTTTTTTCTGTTTAAACAGCACCATGTGTAGCCAATGTGCAATCTGCGATAGAACATATATTTCCTCTGGTGTTGGAGTTTCGTGCAGATGATGAGGACATTGACAAAAGCTTGTTAGAAAATGAAACGAGATTTATTAGAAAACAACGAGGTATAATTAAACCAAAACGTCCAGTGATGAACTATGAGGACTATGAAGATTACAACTCAAATGATGGCGATAGTGACGAAAGTTTTGATAGTGATGAAAGCCAAGATTGACTCTGTAGACTATTGTTCAATGTGCAAGCGTATCATAGTATGTATGCCTGAAGGAGTCTGTGAATGCGTGATGAAGACATGAAGCACTGACTTTATGTGAATTCCGTCACTGATTAGAGCTATTGTTTCCTGGTTTATCTTTATGTAACTGAATTACCACTTTTTTCCACAAACAGCATATCATAGAGCATAGACTAAAACAGTGACCTTATAACATTAATACTTCATTTGGTATTTTCTTTTGTTTGGCTTGTTGTTTTTACATCAAAGATTTTTAAGCCTACCACGGTGGGCTGTTCAAATCACCTTTTGTATATTGTCTGTCTATAAACAGTTGTTGTTATCACTAGTTAATTCAGAAGTGCTGCATAGATCATCCTAAAAGTTTATATGTAGCTTTCCCTCAGGCCGTTGTTGAAAAATGATCATTTTGGGTCTGATCTGGAAATCATAATGGCTGATGTTGGCCATCTGGAATTTTAAGTTTGTTATCACAGAGGAGTTGAATAGATCATTAAAATTTCATAGATTAAATAGGTTCCCCGCAGTCCTTAGTTGTACATCATCTATTTGGAGATTGGTCAGTGATTCTTCTGTTTTGACAATTATAGATTTTGTTATCACTGTTTTCACTGACTTATATCGAAGAGAAAAATTGTCTGTGCTCTCCACCCTGCGCTAGTAGTCACTGAAACTTCTTACTTTAGGTTTATCTTCACCTTGGTTAGGAGGACTGTCATTCACTGAATGGACTTACTCATCAAGCTCTTTAAGCATTTGCCAGTAAATATGAAAATAGTCCAAATCTTCTCACTCTTTGTCAGTAGAGAACATACATTTTATTAACCATGAAGTACAAATACTTGTTTCAGTTTTTTTCCATCTGATCCTTCTATATTGTCATTGTTGTAATTTTTTGCTTTTGATTAGCTTTACTGATATTGTAGTTATTTCAATCCACATCATCTTTATCCAATAAGTCTAGTCCATGTCTTTTTACCCAAGATATAACATAAAGATTGGAAATGTTCTTTATGGTATCTTCAATTTAGATTTATTCTGTTTTTTTTTAGATTCACTTTAGTGCACATTTAAATAGATACTGTTCAGAAATCCTTAAACATATACAAATGTTTGATAAGGTGATGTATTGCAAATTGTAAATATGGAAAAAGATTTTGTCAGTCCTATTTTTATGCTCATGTTTTGATCAATGCATTATAGCAAAATTTTGGAGGTTTCTATGCAGATTAGGTACCAATATCTCTTAGCAATTTCCAATAATATTATATTGTTAAATATTTCAGTATTTTTTCAGTATCATTGTGTCATTTAATATTTATAAATGACCTGAAGTAAATGATATAAAAAAAAGTTATTTGGTGCAAATAAAATTGCCATTAAGTCAAGGGTCTGTCAAATGAATGAAACTCAACACATTAGGTTACACTGATCCGAGATCTAACAAATAACACTGGACTTGCATTCAGAAAATGTTTATAATGAAGAAAAGATAAAGACCATCTGTGGGTTCAAATTTCAATTAATGCTTTCCTGAAAATAATCGAAAGCTTTCCAGTATTGTCTACTCATACTCAGTGTGTTTTTTTCATGAATTACCTCAGCAACGTAAAAAAGTAATGCTGTTATCTTCGACAGTTGACAGCATAGAATTCTTAATAAACAGAGAATAGTGTATACAATTGCTATTGTCACAACTGTTTTAAATAACTTGTAGAAAGAATTACCTCCAAATAATGTCTGTCATGACGGAGCATCTGCCTAGATACCAGATTTTTGTAATAACTGACTAGCATAGATCTAATGATTGATGCAACGACCAAACAAGGAGAGGATGAAGTACGTGTGATCTATTTCTGAATTATGAGCAGAAAATAATCAACCCTTCCTCATCCTTGTTTCTTATTTCTTCGAACATCTCTCTGTATGGACATCCTACCAAATGAATCCCAAAAATTGGTTTATTTGTTCACATTTGCAAAACCTTAATAACTTTAAGTAGGTGTGTGTAAAGCAGTGTTAATGAAAAAGTGCTATGTGTGTGTCCTTTGATGAGATGTGCTACATTGACCAAACATTTGGTCTCTACATGTATTTGTTGTTTGTGCTTCATCCATTTGATAATCATTTTTATTACAAGGAAATGTTAAATCTGTGCATTTAATGAATGAATGAAGGAATGATTGAAATAATAAGTTGTTTCTTGTGAAGTGTGTATAATGTATGAGTTTTGCCCCATATGGGCATTGTTCTATAATTTGATATTCAGAGATTAGAAACATGTTACAATTTTGCTATACTGTCTGACATCACAGACACAATTAAGAAACCAGGTGGTATGTAATATGTTGTAATTATACCTAATGTATAGTAATGTAACATGAAGAATATATGTAGCATCTTTATAATTATTGAGTGCACCGATACAGTGACTTTATTGAGAGAGTTTAGGTACATATCCACAGATGTGTCACTTCACTGAATCAGTTTGTAACGGATGTGATACTTTGTCAGTAAGTCTAATAATTTACCTAAATTAATTTCAGCCCAAATTTAGTCTGTGGCATAGATCACTCTAATTTTTCAACTTTTCAGGTTTTGAACAGAATTCTGAAAAAAGAGATGCCCTCAATGTAAAACATGGAAAGACAAATATGATCTGTCACAAGTCTGGTGAGAATCTGTTTTGCTTCCATTATTTGGTAAACCCCAGAAAGTATGAATGATTGATAAAAAGGAAAAAAAAATCATTTAATTTAAAAGATCTTTTCAATGTCTATATCCAGTTACCTTGGATTCATTTTGTAATATCAGGGTATTACCTTAAACCTTTCAACAATGTCATGATACTGTGCCTCATCCATGTACATGTAGAATATGTAAAGTCTTGTGTCTGGGTCGTTTGAAACATAGAATGTGTGGTACATTAACTTCTGAAATGCTAAAGGTACTATGTGAAAGTTCTAGATATGAGAACTAAGTTTAAAGCTCTGTGACAAACATGTCATATTACTGTACATATTAGGGGCAGTCCACTGCGAAAACATGCTGTGTCAAAAAGTGCTATTAAGGTATATCATTCATAAATAAATGTGCAGTATATATGGCTACATGTCGAAAATGTACTTTGAACAACTTACTGTGTTATGTCTTTACATAGAGTGATATCGAGCTTGCACAGACAAACCATTCCATTTCCATTCATGTACAGTGCATTGTAGTTTGAAACACAAAATATCCAGATTCTGTAACATCATTAATTTGGGATTTATTTCCCATGTTGTATGGGTTACTCTAATCCACAAATTTTTAAATCCATGAACTATTGTATTTATCCATATAGCAAGTATCCGCAAAATGGCAATCTTTAGAAAAACCAAGAAAAATAGGCTCCACAAAAAGATATGATTTTACATAGATATTGGTTGATAAAACATCAGATAAGGGATTGTGTATGACATTAAACATGTACTTTTTATAATCGATGTTTTGTAAATTCAAAATGTAGACAGGGCATATTTACATTTTAAAATGTGCTAAGACTACTGTGAATGTGTGAAAGTCTGTTAATATGATCTTATTTCATTGAACAACCACAATTTAGATGATTTTTAGGTCAAGAATTTCCAGCCATCTTCTGTACATTGTATATCAGCTTGTAAAAGTGAGGCCTGCAACATCCTTCTGGACTTTGCAGTACTAGTTTATAGTGTACTTGTCGACCTGCATTATTTAGTCCCTGTGACTTGATGTAGGATACACTTGTCAACTGTTAATGTATTGGTGAACTGTTTACATGCTGACTAACCTTGTACAGGTAAATTGTATATATGTTGACAGGCAATGCTTTGTAGCGTGTCCGTATAAATTTACCCGTTGACATCGAACATGTGACTAATAAACTAATGTACAGTAAGTGCTGACTGACATTTTGTAGGCAAGTCAAATTAATTTTACTGACATAGTTTAGGTACAATATATACCTGTTGTCATATTGTAGGTAAATGGTATTCCTAATGATAGATATGGTGTATGGTACACCTAATGATTGATATAGAATGTGAAATTGCATGTTGACTGACAAACTATAGGTAAATCATATACATAAGTTTACATACTGTAGGTGAATTGTAGGTACATGTACAATGTTTACCTGTTGATCTACATACTGTAGGTAAGTTATTGGTATGTTGTTTACCTGTTGACTGACACTGTAGGTAAGTTATTGGTATGTTGTTTACCTGTTGACTGACAAACTGTAGGTAAATTATGGCTATGTTGTTTACCAGTTGACTAACATAACATAGGTAAGTTGTCAATATATGTTTTTCTATTGCTCAGCATAGGTAAATTGTACACTGTTAATCAAAGTTTAGGTACACTGTGTGAATGTTTATGTGATGTAAAATACTTTAATGTCAAAACTAATTGTCAACACTATTGTATTGCATTTATAGTTGAGAGGAGTCTTGGTAAGACACAAAATTGTCATTCATGAATGTTTCATCCAATTGTTCATTTTCTATACTTACAAATAAATTTGTTTTCAAAGAAAATAGTTGCATTTGTCATATCAAATTCTTTGATGAATAATGTAGAGGTTTAACACTATAGTATAATGTAGGTTGTGGCCCTGCATTCTTTACTAAAGTTCACAGTTTGCGGGTTCAACAGGTCCCATGGTATCACTGCCAAGGCTCATTATCCGACTTATGGTAGATCATGCCCATGTGACCAGTCTGACCATGAAGCAAGTCTCGAGGTGGGGGTGGGGGTGGGGGTGGGGGGAGGGTCCTATGAAGAGATGACATTATTTTCAGAGTTAAGTTTACCTATAACTATTTGCAAAGTCATATGTGTTACTTCTCAGCGATAAAGAATTCCAATTACTACTGGAATATTGTTTGTAGAAATGGATAAACAAAATGAATGAGGGACTACAATTAACCTTTTGAATGACTTTGAGCTACTAACAATGTCAGAGATAAAAATCCATTTGAAGACGGGAACATTTAATTACAAAGAGGCCTAGATTTGTGATATTTGCCTGTAAACATGTTTGTTGAAATCAGGCTTGTTGAAATGTGAAACTTAAAATAACTTTAAAGGAGATAAGGGACAACTTTGTTAATTTCTTAAATAAATCACTGTCAATATCATTCAATACATTTTGTCTGAAACAAGCAAACAGGGATGAAGAGTTAAAAAATATATTACAACTGTGTAGTGTATTTCAAATTATTTTTGTCAAATAAAAATGTTGTAATTTACTTTGAACAATTTTGTGAAATTGGGTTTTTTTTTTTTTTTTTTTAGATCAATTCACTTTTTACTTGATACTATACTTCATTGTTTACATCCTGTGATTCATATAACTTAAACAAACTTTCTTTTCAATACTAAAATTAGAATGTATTCTCATATCAAATCATAGGACTTACAAGTGTCAAGCTCCCTGTAGCTTTCTTTCCTTTCAGATTACACACCAGTTAATGTAATTATATCTTGTTGCTTTGTACTAACTACTTGTAAGTTATACTAAACAAGTTACTTTTGTCCATATCCAGGACTTGTTATCTTATTACATAATGGATTATCTGTAATGGTACACCTGGCAGCACCTGACCATAAGTAATGGATAATTGCAATTGAGGTGACACAAGTCACTTCCTTCTTAACTAGTTAATTGTACCTGTAATGAAATTTGACTTTGTATACATTGCGATTTTGATCTTTATAGGAACTAAAACTAGGAGTATTTTTAGATAATACCAAAGATCACTCACACCAATCTTAGAAGAATCATCAATTAACTTGTGCTTTCTACAAAACTAACATTTAAATAGTCCGAAGAGTTCTCACTATCTATCCCTCGGGACTTATAGGTTTTTTTTCTGGGATTTTATTTTTATATTTGTCTGTCGCAGACTATATCGTACATAATAAAAACTTAATACCCAAAAGCCCATGGGGTCATACCACAGTATCAGTGGGGTGAAGGGCTATCCTGTTTACCAAAAGGAGAGTGACCTTGTCCCATTTTCAGGATAAAAGTCAAATGTGTTTAATCATGTACTGCCTTTTGACCAGTAGCACACAAAATGATATGGTCAACTTTCAAGGTCGTTACAAAGGTCACTGAGTCAAACATATTTTTAAACAGCATATTTATGGTCATGGTATTTTGAGATGAAGGACTGTCAAGGTCGCCGTTATAATGAATGACCTCGACACACATCCATAAGATTACTACATGATCTAGGTTTATATTGTCATATTTCTTCAAGATGGATACATTGATAACGCCGAATCCATGGGAAGACTATATTATAGGATAGTCCTATTGTTTCATCCCTTCGTAGTCTTATACACGCAATAAATTTTGTGAAAATGAAATCAAATATCCAGGTCAAATATAGTGGAGACAACAGCTAGGTATTGTAAAAACTGAATTGTGAACAAACTAAAATTATCAAGTTTCCATTAAAGTAGAATAATCCTATCACCAGCACAATTGTCCATTTGTCAACAAATAATTCTTGTAATTGCTGGAAGTATATTTGATAATTGGTGGGAATGTATTTTTACTACTATTTCTTTTGTATGTTAAATTTCATACAATACAGTAAGACAAAATGTTGCTGATAAGCAACCACCTATGATTTCATTGCTGTCATTTCTCAGATAATCTGGCACAGACTTCCATTTCTTGCATTCTACATGTACATGTAGGTAAAGGTAAACTGCTGAAATTGTCAATAATTTGATAATTTTGAAGGAACAATTTGGCTGATTGACAATCGTGGTTTGGTTTGACTCTCTAAATGCTCAAACATTAGGATCCATATTTGATATGCCAAGAGCCAGTGGAACATTTCTTGGTTCCATGAGCGACACCTTGTGGTTTAGACAAAAAGAATATAAAGGTATTTAGATCTTTTAAGGTACATCAAGAAAGTTTTCTGATGGTCACATAACTGAGTGTTGCTTAAAGTTGGGTGTTGAACGTATCAGTCTGTGATTGGTCAGAGTTCTTCTCCCGAAACCAGCTCTAGACCAATCAAATAGCTTTGCTTGCGTCGGAAATGTTTCAGGGGTGCAGAGAGCGAAGGTGATCATAACTCCTGTGTGTCGATGATGATTTGGATCATTTGTGGACTGCTTGATATTTTCCTTTACAGTGTATTAAGAAAATAATTTTGACCGTTAGCGACTAAATCCTTTCCAAGGTTTTCATCAAACTTTACATGCGGTCATTGTTATTAATCGTTCTTAATTTTAGAAAATTGTCAGCATTCTAGGGCTTCAGACAAGGAGAATACAACCAGGTGTTCCGTAAGAGTAAGTACCTTTTGCTTCATAGGGAACACACACCATGTAAATGTGATCAATTCAAGTAAGTAACATCATGTTCTCAAACAAGGGATCCAACAGGCAAACTAATAAGCATCAAACATGTCCAACTTTATAGCACACTACAAAACAGAATATTTCTCAATAAGATCACCATGACGAATGTAAAACTTCCCCATAATTTTCATAAACTTGCATCTTTTGAAACCCTGTGTTACAACTTTGTCCATTAGTTGCCGACTTCTTGCATTCAAATCATGATAATTGGAACAGGTCCTAGAATATTGAATCAATTGCATCATGTAAACACCATAGGTTGTGGATGCAATAAGGTTTATATCTAGAAATGGAAAATAAATAGGGAAATTAAAATCATGTTTTTAATACTGATTGGTGGAAAGCTGTCCATGTTGGTTTCATTGTAGGAAAAGATCTGTAGTGTCCTTGGTGCTACCAAGATGTAATATATGATTATTAGAACCACAACTGATATTGATTTATTATCTACATTATGTACACCAGTCATTGATATGTATATATTTGTATTTTTTCAATGTCCATGTATCTGTTTGATATAGTCAAAGAGCTGTCATTTAGAGTTTTGACATTGAAAGTTTGTTACAACTATTTTTGATGAATTATTAACGAGATCTTCTTGAAACCTTACAATGTTTTGGTGCGAAATATCATAATGCACGTCACATTTTAATCCTTATCTGGATGTCAAAGAAGTATGTCAACCTTGGATTTCAACATGGTTTTGAAGAAATTCTAGAAATTACACGTAAACAATACTGTAATAACATATCAATTTAAATGTAAATACCGTCTAATGGATAACACAGAACTTCAGAAAATGAATGTTTGAGATGTTCATTTAATGATGCATTAAAGCCTAAACAATGGAATTAATCATGGAAATCTCAGATATTTATTTATTTTACCTGGGTACATGCTTTTTAATTTTTGAGCTTTAAGGTTAATATATAATAAAACATGTACAACCTAAATGTCTCTTAACGAAATAAGTTTGTCCCTTTTTTATCTGATTCAGTACTTGGTACTGCACACATCAAAGTTTTCCAATGACTTTACAGAGGGAAACTTCACGTGGGAAGAAGAGTGTCTTAAAACGAAATTGTTCTTGAATCCACAGATCTTTTTTAACAACAGACAAAGTTCCAGCGGTGTCCTTCCATTGCTCTAAACAGGATTCGTCTGAAAACGTTCAATTTTAGGGCATTATAAAATATCACTACCCTAGTCCTCCGGTCTCTCTGGAGGGGGTCCACATGGCTGTAACATCCTCTCCATTAGGTTGAATTTAACCCTTGCTTTTGCTTCGTTTTCGGCCAAAGCGAAGTAGTTGAGCATATCAGTATGTCCAAGGTATGATGCATAACTATCTCTGTGCTGGTTAGTCAACCATTCCCATTTATTTGTGTCAGCGTGGCCGGTACCAATGTATTTTGACTGCAAATGTTCCAGTTGACTATGAATGTTGTAGCGGTCACCCATAATGTTAATGTGTGTAAATAAAGTAACTTTGTAGTAGATAACGTTTTCAATAACACACACAAAATATAAACAATGAAGGTTACGAAGATCTTTTCTTTAAATTTTGTTTCGCCTGTCCCCGTTCGGAGTTTCTTTTCATTGTTTAGTTGTTTACTTCCGGCAAATTTTACCATGCTCTACATGGATTCTTCATTTAAATATATTTTGTATATGTATTTACATTATCCATTACTTTTAATAACATTTGAAAACTTGAAACTTTTTAACAATAAGATCCGTGATCTTATTCAAAAGGTTGTAATCCCGGATGGTGACTTTGACGGTTCTATTGATCATTAGGTAAAATCATACTGCGCATGCTTGGCGGGAGTCATTATTTCAAAAAGAAAAACACGAGGCGTTTGTAAGATATACGACAGTGTGAAAAGGTAGGACATGCAAACTTATATATGTATTCATTATATGATTTTAAGGTGACTGGATAATTTTTGATGGATTTAAATTTGTAACTGATCAACCGCTTTACACAGAGATCTCTGTTACGGTTACACTGACTCACGATCGTGATGCCGGGACATTTATTGACACCAGGCGAAATAATTGTTACTTTCATAGTTTCTTTCGCTGCGACTCCGTCAAACATAACTAATATATCAGGTAAAACGTTTAACAATATTGTTTTGAAACTACTCGGATGAAGAATACTCAGGAGAATGTACTACATATGGCTTCTAATTAACAGGGATGCACTGAAAGTCTAACGCATCCCTGTATCACATTTTTCTCCTCTGAATTAAGACATTGTACAATTGGTATACAGGTTAATAACGAAATACTTTTTTTAAATAACCCCACAAAATTGCATTAGAAACTGATCAAGACATGTATAGCTGTAAAAAAAAACAAATCAATTGTGTGTTTTTTTATTTGCATCCTATCAGGGACCCTAATTCTATTAACTTTACGCTGCACAGTGTAACACAGCAAAATCTCTGGATATCTGCATCGAATCGTTCCGCCAAGCTGTCTTGACAATAACTTGGCGTTACGAAGAAGTATGTTAAATCTGCTTGTGTGTGTGGTGCGTTTACAGCTTGAAATTACATAGACAGTGTAGCTAGGCCCTTTTTGAAGGTCTCTAGGCTGTCTGCCTCTGCTTCACTGGCTGGAAGAGTATTCCACACAGAAATTGTTCTTGGAAAGAAGCTGTATTTGAGTGTGTCAGTCCTAGTGTATATTGTTCTGTACTGTTTGTTGTGCTGGGTCCTAGTGCATTATTGTGTACTTGTATGTTTAAGTCAGGATTGATATCTATGAGCCCATTGATGATCTTAAAATCATTGTCAACTGTGCCTTATGTCGTCTAGTTACAAGGGTCTCCCAATGTAGGTTATCTAGCATATCCGACATGCTACTGGTGTTCCTGTATCTGTTTGTTACATACCTAGCTGCTCTGCGCCGGACTTTCTCAAGCTTATCCTGTTGTATTTAGACACTAGGATTGCAGACACATGAAGCGTACTCGGTTATAGGTCTGACTAATGTCCAATATGCTGCTGACTTGGTTTCCTCACTATTGATCTTTAGGTTCTCCGAAGAAAACCTTTGGTGCAGCTGGCCTTGGCAGGTATTCTTTCTATATGGTGTGACCAAGAAAGGGTGGAAGTAAGGTCAACACCTAAGTAGGTGACGATAGTATTGTTCTCCAAGGTGGTTCCCTTCAACTTTTATGAATATCTGGGAATAATTCTCTTACTCGACACATTTAACACTGCACTCTTTTCTGGATGGAATAGCATACCCCAGCGGCTGTCCCATTCAGCCAATTTGGTCAGATCTTTTTGTAACATTTGCTGATCACCTGGGCCTTGAATAGTTCTGTAGAGAATAGCATCATCTGCGAATAGGCACATACTTGAATCCACACATTCGGGTAAGTCATCTATAAAAATGAGGAAGAGCAAAGGTCCGAGGACTGTGCCCTGGGGGGACCTCACTACATACTGGAGCACTGTCAGATTTTTCACCATCAACCACCACTCTCTGTGACCTACCAGTGTGGAAATCCTGGATCCAGGCCCAAACATGACTAGGAGACGTCGATGGGGAACTCAATCAAAAGCCTTGGGAAAATCTAACACCAGTACTTCTTCTGGTCTATATTGCCTCCAATACGATAGCACAGTTACTACAGTGGCTACCATTGCATCAAGTTTCTAATAGCACTTTCAGTAAACAGCTTGATGAAAAATTATTTACCTTGTCATAAATTAATGTGATTTTTGTTAATATGTGGTAAAAGTTTCTGTTTAAACGATTTCAGCATATTCTAGTGAAAGAAATCATGCCCACAATTGCTATTTGATAGCCAGTTTGCATTATATTCTCAAATTCGTAGATTTCTTTGACCTGATTAAGACCTTCCTGTACACAGATGTATCCTCACAAATTGCTTCAAATATTACAATTATTGTACAATAGCAATCAAATTGTTAACACATCATTGGAAGAATGTTTTGTTCATTTTTTTCAGATCATGCCTGGTAGAGGGAAAAAGCGATCTAGAGATTCTGAGGGAAGCTCAAATGGAGAAACAAAGAGGCACAAAAGTAATTGTTTGTGAAAGTTTTTCCAAATTCCTAAACCTATTGCATGGTTATGAAAATCTTCATGTGGGGAAGGCTCTTCTTATTACATTTTAGGAATGAAATTGATCAATTGGAAAGAGAATACATGGAGTGAGCTATACTATGTGGGAATTGCAATATATTATGAAATTAATCTAATTGATTGGGGGTTCATTTTCAGCTCTAAAGCCACAAGAAAAAGTCCTGACATATATCCATTGTAGTTTCTCCCTTAAAGTTCCAGCATCATGCACCTTCATGAATTGGGAAAATGTAGAAGGGGTTTTTAGAAAATTGGTATAAAACATCTTTTGATTTTGATTAATTTGGCAAGGGGAGCATTATTTCAAGTAGGCAAAAAATATTTTAAAAATCTGTTGATATCTCCAATGAACATATTAATCATTGACCAAAAGAAAACAACATTCTTTAGTTTTTCAGTGAATTGAACAATTGAGGCAATTTAATGGAGCAAGTTATGTAGAAAATTTCGGAAATCTTAACTTTGTTTGATTTCATTTACAGTAGGTCACTGTTCACATAGTAGTGACGAAGGTGTGGTACTTGTTCTTGGGGAAGGAGATGTAGGCCAGCTAGGACTTGGTGAAGATATTCTGGAGCGGGCCAGGCCTACCCTCCTGTCCAGTGTTGAGGAAAAAGTCATTCAGGTTGTGTGTGGTGGAATGCACACAGTTTGTGTGACTGTCAAAGGCGAGGTGAGCACTTGAATAGGGTACAGTTGCTGATGTATGTACATTATGTGATTTATTGATGCCTACACAGGTACCTGTTTTAGTGGCTGACAATTTTTACAGTATATATTTTGTTTTCAGATAGTGACATTCGGCTGTAATGATGAAGGTTCACTTGGGAGAGATACATCAGAGGAGGGGTCAGAGATGTTGCCAGGAAAAGTTCCTCTGGGAGCTAAAGTAGTCCAAGTCAGTGCTGGGGATAGTCACACTGCTGCCCTGACAGATGATGGGCGGCTTTATATATGGGGCAACTTCAGGGTAAGTTTTCAACAGCTCTTCAGTCATTTAAAATACTAGGAACAACATTTAAATTGTAATTGAAGTTTTTTGCATTGTCTTGATTTTTAACTTATTTAGATAAACCCTCATAATGCCTCCAGTGCTTAAGTCAACCTATTAATACATTTTTCAAAATATTTTACCATTTTCTTAAATGATTCTCAGACTAAATATTTCAAACACCATTGTGCACATCTACAAAAAAGTGACAATACCAGTCCAAGTTTTACATTAAGTTAACAATTTTCAGTATTTTGCATGGTCTTGTCTATATCATAGTATAAATGTTTTGTGATAGGATTCTAATGGCTCCATAGGACTGACACTTAGTGGCATACAGAAGGTTCCTGTGGAGGTGTTGCACAATGAAACCATTGTCAAGGTTACATCGGGCGGTGATCATCTTGTGTGTCTGACAGACAAGGGGGAGATTTACACCTGGGGTAGGTCACAAATTTATCTCTGACATATATACATGGCAAATTTTCCATATAACTGAATTTACCCCTTTGAATCAAGCTCTACATTTTTATTTCAGGATTGATAGATTAAAGGTCACATCTGATAACTTCTGCAACCAGCATCTTCATTAAACAATGATACTTTATATGTATGCACGGGAGTAGGCCTATGGGCATTTTCAAATTTTCAGGATATTCAGTGTTTTCATACTCTATCAGATAGTGTCATCTTATCCACTGTCATTGTTGAATAATACATCAGTTTTGTGATATGTGGGGATTTTGTAGATAAAACTCAGCTGTGAGCTTACAGTAAGTGATAGTCAATGTGTTTATTGTTTCAGGCTGTGCTGAACAAGGGCAGTTAGGAAGAGTTGCTGAATGTTTTACTAGTAGAGGAGGCAGAAAGGGCTTAGGTAAATGATTCTATCTAACACCTGTTTATATTTCCTTTATTTGTGTCTAATACAAGTATTTTTTATCCTTACGTAACTGAAATACATCACATGGTTTTGCATACTGCCCCCGATGAAATTCCTGGAGAATGATCAGGCATGATAAAGGAAGGACAAAAGTAATCCAATATTACATTGAATTGCAGAAAAATAGTTGAAATTGTCCCATGTTGTACTTACTTTATTGAAAGGTACATTTGGTCAGTTCATACTAAGTTTATTGATATTCACTTACATTTTGTGACTCAATCAGAGAATTTAATGTGATATGTAATGGGGTAAAATGTGGTGTCATAAAGTATATTTTACATCCTGAACAAACATTTTTGAAAGTTTAACACAAGATGAAACACCATGATGTAGTAACAATTTCACATCATAATATGATATTGCATCCTTACCAATTTAGGAAAAGATGCTTTTAATGATAGAGAAAATATTACTGTCTATGTAGAGTTCCTGGATGTAACAGGACACAAAAGGCAGTTCATTTGGGAATTTATTTCCCTCTCAACCGCATTTCATTGTCAAATTCATTGAAAATTACTTTCTCGTCAAAAAATTACTATCTTTTTAAATTAGGTATTGCCATGGATAATTGTAACTTCTGTTTAAAGCCATCAAATAAGTTTTATTTACAAAATAATTAGCAGACATAACAACAATTAACACGCCTTTTTGGGTTCTAATCAGTAAAGATGCAATTTTAGCTCACCTCAAAGGGTGAAGTGAGCTTATGCCATAGTGCAGCGTCTGCCGTTCGTCCTATGTAAACGTTTTTATTTAAACAACTTCTTCTCAATACCCAATGGACTAAATGTTATGATATTTAGCTGATATGTTCTGAGGATGAAGCCTATCAAAGTTTTCGTAAAGAAATGACATTGACATATATTCAAGGCCACAGGGGTCATTGGTTAAAACCTTTAAATGACTTCTCATGAACTAAAAGGCCTAGAGGCATGATATTTTTCTGATATATTTTAACCAGATGAGCACTGCAGGCCCATTGGGATTCTTTCTCTATATTGCAATTGAATAAATAATACCTATTAATATCTATATATTCAGAGGCAAACAAATATTTTATTCCTCCTCTTCTATAGATATCTAAATACCTTGATATGATTTTTTAAATACATGGTTTCATTCTGGGTTTATTTTACAATATTTCACCCATTTAAATGAAGGTTTTCCTGTATTGGCTTTTCATTTAAGTCTTTGAAAAGCAATGGTTAGATTCTGAAAAAAAATTTTTTTTAGGTTTTATTTTGACACCAGCGAAAGTGAAGTGTAGACGACGAAAGACATTTTTTAGTGACGTGTGGGCTGGCCAGTTTGCAACCTATGCCCAGGAGGCTGACACTGGAGAAGTGTTCTCTTGGGGACTAAATAACTACTTCCAACTAGGTACTGTATTCATATTATCTATAACCACAATACTTAAGTCTCCAATCATCTAAGGGACAGTTCTGTTATGGTAATCATTTTAGTCAAAATTGAAATTGAGTTGATGTAGTTAACAATTTTACCATCAGTAAGTCTACAACACTGTTATTGTTAACTCATTTATTACATGAACATGGTTATGATTTTTATCCTTGAATGATTCCTTTAGGTTGTTTGGTGGTACAGTTGTAAATTCTAATAGTACACTCAACTTCATTTGGACAAATTGGGTTTGTTTCTCTGATCAGACATGAAAAAATGTGTGATCACCTGTCTGATCACATTTTCTCCAGGTCCTTTGGATGCCTCCCACAGTAAGGCCCCTCAAATTATTCAGAGGTTTACTGACAACATTGTAATTAGATGTTAAATAAATAATCCGTCCAGTAACAGGTGTTTCTTTTTAATCATCAGGGTTTAGTGACATGAAGAATCGCTTTGTACCCGAACGAGTGGGTTCGTTTTCTGTCAAGAAGTGGCTTAAGCTGGATGGTGGACAACATCACACAGTTGCTATGGACACAAATGGTAAGAGCGTTTGGTTTTATGATTTTAAGCTCACCTGGCCAAAAAATGGCCAATGGACCAAATGTTTTATTTAAATGGTATGTTCCTAGGATGAAGTCTGACAAAGTTTGGGAAAAGATATGACCTTGATTTATATTATAGGACATGGGTCAAATTTGAGGAAATGATATTTTGCTGGTATATATATAGCCATCCCACAAGACTAAAACCATGTAATAATGTTTATTGTAATAAAATGATGTGTCCATGAAAAAGTTACTTAATAGATTAAAATTATAAAACATTTAATTAAATATGAAAATAAAACTTATAAGTCAATACCAAACTGATGTTTGTCTCTGTAAGTAGGGAAAGGTTTCACAAGCATTGTTATGCTCGATAATCTTTGAGATCACAATAGTTAAGTCAGCTGAGTATCAAACTATTGTAAAGATACAAGGTGTGGTTCTTTCCCAACTCAGAGTTATTTGTGTTTATCAAGAAGCTAAGATTATGGAAATTACCTTTCTGTGCTTTTTATGGATGGGCAAGATGCTTTAATGTAATTGTTGTGACAATCCTTCCATTATGATATAAAGTGAGATAGCAGTCAGCTGCTACAAGGAGGTGGCTGCAAAGTGACCATGACTGTTCATAGGGTGATTAATCCAGTAAACAAATGGTAAATTCTTTAAGTCATGCTTCAGCAATTTTATTCTTTCACAGGTAAAGTGTATACAATAGGTAGATCCGAGTATGGTCGTCTAGGACTAGGAGAAGATGTTACCACTGAGAAGTCAGAACCGACACTGGTGCCAGGAATACCTGAGGACTGTACAGATATAGCTGCTGGCCAATCTGTTTCTTTAGCTCTTACAAAATCTGGTGAGTTGTTACAGCTTCCTCTAATATACACCCAGAAATGAGGACTACATTAGTAGTCATTTTCAATTCATTTCTGATATTCATTGCTTCTGGGTTTTCATATTATTTCATTAAAGAAAAACATTAACTGCAAACATCAGTCAATGTACTGTAAACCAACTTTATTTTTACATTTGATTTTTACCTTCACAAAATGGTTGTGTTGTTATATATTGTTATACATACCCTCATCATTTGCTGACTTTTGTCGCAAGGAATCTTCCTGTTTGTACATTTACATATGTTCTAAATGTTGTCACTAATGTGCAGAGTGCATTTTTTACCCTTTGCCACAGTACTTTGGTCATGTGTTAACAAATATTACTTGTATGAATTAGCCATTCAATTTTTTTCTGCTGATAAAACTTGCAATATATTGAAATAGGGTAGAATGCTCTACAGGCTGCATTTTTTATCCTGTTGTCACAATACTTTGCACAGTTGTTCACAAACATCACTAATTGTATGAGATTTCATTTTGACCTCCTTTGGTCAAAAACTAGGTTAATGTAACTATGGATATAAAAACGATGTCACTGCTCTTAAGACTGCATTTTTAGCTCACCTGGTCCAAAGGACCAGTTAGTTTATATCGTAGTCAAGATTGAATTTGATGTTTGCTGTTTCAGGGACTGTGTATGGTTGGGGTATGGGTACAAGTCAGCAGCTTGGAATTGGAAATGATGAAGATGCATGGGTACCAACAAAAATGGGCGGAAAGCAACTTGAAAACAGGTGAGAGTAACATGTCAGTTAACTGATCAGTCAATTTGTAATGTTTTGAAGAATAATAAGTTGGGAGGACTGTGGTAACCAAAGATGAATTATTACTATATCACAGTATGTATCAATGCTGTTCATTTCTCCATCATATTTGACACTGTAAATGTATTTCACAATTCTCAGTGGGGGATGCTATGTTTTTGCTTATGAATTGGATTGTCTGTTTTAGGTCAGTGATAATGGTTTCCTCTGGAGGACAACACACCGTACTACTGGCAAAGGACAAGTCAACTTCCTGAATTAACAGAGCAAAATGAAAAACATTGAAATTCCTGTCTTCCTACAAATGATGCATTTCTGGCTTTCATCAATTAAGAATTGCTTAGAACAGAAGATGAAAGAGACAATTGACTTTCCTTTGTTTAGGGTCCTGAATTGGTTGAAGAAGGTGAATTTTTTTTAAGACCAGCTGACATGTTGACCATGTTAATGATCTGTTTTAGCCTGCACGTTCTGTCATCTGGTATGGCAGTACAAACCTTTGTTACACCTTGTTGTAGGCTTTGTAGTAAAAAGTGATATTCTGTGATGAATTGGATTTATCAGGCTGCCTGTACTAAGATCTCTTTGTTTGTGATTATTTGTTAATGAAAGACAAAGACTGTGTTCATACTGTTACTGTTTGTGGATTCATGTGGAATGACTCAAAAATACATTATTACTTGTCATCTGTTCTGATTCCCAACAGGTTTTGTATCCCAGTACATAATGTTAATCACATGTGTACAAATTATCAGATCCTCAACAAGTTTTAATGTTTTATCTATTTTTAACAAGTGAACTTTCTTCTACTCCACAAATATCAGTCAGCCAATTGTAAATGTCTGTTTCAATGTCACACCATCCATTGTAATTTTCTATCTCAATGTCACACCATCCATTGTTATGTCTGTCTCAATGTCACACCATCCATTGTAATTGTCTGTGTCAATGTCAAACCATCCATTGTAATTGTCTGTGTCAATGTCAAACCATCCATTGTCTATCTCAATGTCAAACCATCCATTGTCTATCTCAATGTCAAACCATCCATTGTAATTGTCTGTGTCAATGTTTAGCAATTCATGGTAATCATTTGTATCATTGATAAGTCATCCTATGTAATCACGATCTTCTGATCAATGATGATGTTGTCTGTGACAATGACACTGTTTAGATTAAGTCCACTTAACTTTCTTTGAAAGGTAATCAGACCTCTTATCAAAATTTGATACACCATATCCGATAGAATTTGAAGATTTCTTCCAAAATCTTTCTTAAATTCCTGACAGTTTACACCATGGTCATTTGTGGTGTGATGTTTTACAACAAAAAGTGAAGAAATGTGGGAGTTGAGTCTACTATGTGTTTTTCTGCTTTTGCTTTGAACATAATTGCAGAATACAGAAATCAAAATTCTCAAAACTTTACACAACAAGACTGTTGTATTTATTATTTACAGAAGTAATTGGAAATAGTGAGGCGAAGTCAGATATGAAGGGACCGTTGATGAGTCTTCAATGTTGAAGTCTTCAAATATGCCTGTGAGGTTCCGAATATATGTCTTGATTAGGTTTGATTCATTCTGTCAATATTCCAGTACATTCAAAATGTTAATTCCAGAAACGATTTAGAAAACCTAATGGCTTAACAAGGCTGGGAAAGATTTTATCTTTTGCCACTTAAGGTTCTAGTATTAGATTAGAGGTTAAAGCTTATTTTATTCAAATGACAATATCTTCTTAATCAAATAGGTTTAACTCATAAGTTAATACATTTCAAAAATGATATGTATATTGTTTTTGTGATCATAAAGGGTTGAATTGAATCAGGAAAGTATGTTGAAATGAAGCTAGTGATTAGATAAAATGATCATGACATGTTTTAAGAAATACTAGCGTAAATAATAATTCCTAAAAAGAAATCCATCTACATGATGTATGACCGGTTATTTGATATAATCTATAGTTTTTTAATTTCTTGGTGCTTATATTTCACAGATGTAGTGGTTCAAATGGTTGGAGATGATTTATGAGGATTAGATTATACGAACCATCACATTTAAAACCAATGTTTACCTGTATATATAATAGGTTTTCATTCCTTTTAAGATATTTGCTGTTTTTGTACCATCTTTAGTCACCACAGGTACAGCAAATCTTTAATCACCACAGGTACAGCAAAATTAAATCCCATGTGAATATTAACAACTACAGTATACAGTAGCTACTGTCAATTCTGCCAGTCGTAGGAGTTCCATTGGACTATTTACCTTCACAATTATACAAGAGGTGTCATAGTTCATCACTGTTGGCTGAGTTTTCCATTATTGTAATCTAAAAATACATATCAGACTTTATGTGTAAATAGATAACTAGAAAGGCATACCACTGAAATATTAAGTACAAAAAGAATATGGTTTCGATTTGACTACTTATTTCACTATTTTCAACCCAATACATCTACAGTCAAACATGTTTTAAAGTGTCACCATTAAATGCAGTAGAAAGTAACATTTATTAGGGGTATTCATAAATTATCTATTCACTTTCAGATCTGCTGTAAATAATTGACTCAAATTGAAAATTATATGTTAATTCTGACCAATATCTGATGACTGATTTCAGAAAATCGTGATCAATTGTAGTAATAGTCGGTTATTAAATAAAAAATAGAATTATCAATATAATTGATTAACAAGAACAATAGGATATGCTGTATGGACAAATTATGTGTAGTGACCATGGTCATCACTGCCTCTTGGCAACATATATTCAAATCAAGTCTGAATAAGTGAAATAAGTGTAGTGTAGGAAGTTGACCTGGCAAATACTTTTGCTTGATAGGTGATCAAGTCAAACTAAAAAATTAAAAAAGTATCATTAACTGGCATATGTAAAGCTAAAAACTAGTTGATGGTAATACTACAAAATACAACCTCGGAGGATATATGAAATAGGTGTATTAAATGGTTACCGCTCAAGTGCCAACTATAAATATATGAATTAAATTATATAGTGGTTTTAATATAATTGTAAACATCCTTTTATAAACAGAATATGGAAGGTGGCCGTGGTTAAACATTATACTAAAGTACTCTGCTTTTCAGAACAATGAATGTGACAGCTGTGTTGGTGAGAATTTTGTTTACATGTAAAGTGAGAATAAATTAAATGCCTTTTCAAGAGCGATAGTTGTGGTTTGCATGCAAGAAGTTTTTATATAGTAATTGATGTGAAAGAAAATACAACACGCTTATGTTTCAAGTATCATAATGGAAAAGTATTTTTACATTAAACTATTTTGAAAAAATCAGTGTCATATCCTTTGATCATAGATACATACGAGCTTTCTTCATAATGCTCAAATAAAATCAAGTGCAGCTGAAATTTCTGTCACATCAAACTTTCATTTGGCTTAATTACTGCTAAAAACTCTTGATATTGACAACAGATTGAAATTGGTAAAATTGTCTCCAGGTGTAAGTTAACATATCTTTCATATATTTTGGCTATTTGAGTGGTAAATTATAAAAGTAATAATAAGTCATTCAACAACATGCAAATATGTAATATGTAAATAATTTTCCCTGGTATTCATGTTAATGGAATAATTTACTTCAAAATACTGCTTTCAATTATGTACAAGGAAAGATAGATTTTTTTTAATGTTTTGGAATAATTGAGCAGTGAAGAAATACAAATCTTGTTTTTTAGCAAAGGTATTACTTCATGATGCCAGAAAAAGTTGAAGTAAGATTTAATTTTAATTTATTAAATGTAGTTTTAGTTACTTTAAAAAATCTTTTAAGAACGTGAATTGTTATTTTAATATAGGTCAAATTTGAATAAAGTCTTAATATAAAAAAAAACCACTTCATTGTTTTTGTATGACATTCAGCTGTTGATTTTTTTCTGATTGTTTTTTCTTAGTTAAGTCCTAATGGACACTGTCTATGGCTGTCGAGGAGTTTGAAGGTACATGCACATCTCTTGACATGCCATTCCATCTGCCATTTTTTTAGATTTCCATTGTTCAGTTGATTTATGGGATTTTTCGATTGATCACTGTGAGCAGTACTTGAACAATGTTGTAATTGTCTGAACAGCAGTTTCAGAAGCCATTGTCATCGGTTTAAGCTTACCATTATCAAAAGGACTCTTCATAGGTATCCATGTTGGTCTTCAATCGTTAAAGTATGTTTGTTCTTTTAAGTCCTTTGTTTTGAGACTGATCAGAGAAAAAGTGGCTAGCGGTTCAAGTTCTATATCTTGGATAGTACAAGATGAGTCTTTCTCAATTCAGCACTAAACTGGTTCAGTAGGCATTCCTGAGCATTATGAATACCAACACTCGATAAGGAAAAATTCAGTGAAGCATGTTCATGTTGAATTTGCTTTGTTGACTTTGATAATATTCAAGTGGACCAACTGATATCAATTCCATTGATAGAAGGGGAGACAGCTTTGGATATATTTGTTATTGTGAGTGGAACCTGTTTCAGAATGACTTGATGTTACTTGTGTGTGTATAGATGTGACAGATTTTACACGTCTCTGAATATCTTGTGTCTCTGTGACTGGAACCCGATTCAGAATGAATGGTGTTACATGTCTGTCTATGACAGCCTTTACATGTCTCTATGACTGGAACCAGACTCAGAATGAACGGTGTTACATGTCTGTCTATGACAGCCTTTACATGTCTCTGTGACTGGAATTCAACTCAGAATGAACAGTGTTACATGTCTGTCTATGACAGCCTTTACATGTCTCTGTGACTGGAACTCACCTCAGAATGAACGGTGTTACATGTCTGTCTATGACAGCCTTTACATGTCTCTATGACTGGAACTCACCTCAGAATGAACGGTGTTACATGTCTGTCTATGACAGCCTTTACATGTCTCTATGACTGGAACTCACCTCAGAATGAACGGTGTTACATGTCTGTCTATGTGACAGCCTTTACATGTCTCTATGACTGGAACCAGACTCAGAATGAACGGTGTTACATGTCTGTCTATGACAGCCTTTACATGTCTCTGTGACTGGAATTCAACTCAGAATGAACAGTGTTACATGTCTGTCTATGACAGCCTTTACATGTCTCTGTGACTGGAACTCACCTCAGAATGAACGGTGTTACATGTCTGTCTATGACAGCCTTTACATGTCTCTATGACTGGAACTCACCTCAGAATGAACGGTGTTACATGTCTGTCTATGACAGCCTTTACATGTCTCTGTGACTGGAACTCACCTCAGAATGAACGGTGTTACATGTCTGTCTATGTGACAGCCTTTACATGTCTCTATGACTGGAACCAGACTCAGAATGAACGGTGTTACATGTCTGTCTATGACAGCCTTTACATGTCTCTGTGACTGGAATTCAACTCAGAATGAACAGTGTTACATGTCTGTCTATGACAGCCTTTACATGTCTCTGTGACTGGAACTCACCTCAGAATGAACGGTGTTACATGTCTGTCTATGACAGCCTTTACATGTCTCTGTGACTGGAACTCACCTCAGAATGAACGGTGTTACATGTCTGTGTGACAGCCTTTACATGTCTCTGTGACTGGAACTCACCTCAGAATGAACGGTGTTACATGTCTGTCTATGACAGCCTTTACATGTCTCTGTGACTGGAACTCACCTCAGAATGAACGGTGTTACATGTCTGTCTATGACAGCCTTTACATGTCTCTGTGACTGGAACTCACCTCAGAATGAACGGTGTTACATGTCTGTCTGTGTGACAGTCTTTACATGTCTCTATGACTGGAACTCACCTCAGAATGAACGGTGTTACATGTCTGTGTGACAGCCTTTACATGTCTCTATGACTGGAACCCGACTCAGAATGAATGGTGTTACATGTCTGTCTATGACAGCCTTTACATGTCTCTGTGACTGGAACTCACCTCAGAATGAACGGTGTTACATGTCTGTCTATGACAGCCTTTACATGTCTCTGTGACTGGAACTCACCTCAGAATGAACGGTGTTACATGTCTGTGTGACAGCCTTTACATGTCTCTGTGACTGGAACTCACCTCAGAATGAACGGTGTTACATGTCTGTCTATGACAGCCTTTACATGTCTCTGTGACTGGAACTCACCTCAGAATGAACGGTGTTACATGTCTGTCTATGACAGCCTTTACATGTCTCTGTGACTGGAACTCACCTCAGAATGAACGGTGTTACATGTCTGTGTGACAGCCTTTACATGTCTCTATGACTGGAACTCACCTCAGAATGAACGGTGTTACATGTCTGTGTGACAGCCTTTACATGTCTCTATGACTGGAACCCGACTCAGAATGAATGGTGTTACATGTCTGTCTATGACAGCCTTTACATGTCTCTGTGACTGGAACTCACCTCAGAATGAACGGTGTTACATGTCTGTCTATGACAGCCTTTACATGTCTCTGTGACTGGAACTCACCTCAGAATGAACGGTGTTACATGTCTGTCTATGACAGCCTTTACATGTCTCTGTGACTGGAACTCACCTCAGAATGAACGGTGTTACATGTCTGTCTATGACAGCCTTTACATGTCTCTGTGACTGGAACTCACCTCAGAATGAACGGTGTTACATGTCTGTCTATGACAGCCTTTACATGTCTCTGTGACTGGAACTCACCTCAGAATGAACGGTGTACATGTCTGTCTGTGTGACAGCCTTTACATGTCTCTATGACTGGAACCCGACTCAGAATGAACGGTGTTACATGTCTGTCTATGACAGCCTTTACATGTCTCTGTGACTGGAACTCACCTCAGAATGAACGGTGTTACATGTCTGTCTATGACAGCCTTTACATGTCACAGTGACTGGAACTCACCTCAGAATGAACGGTGTTACATGTCTGTCTATGTGACAGCCTTTACATGTCACAGTGACTGGGTCCTTATATCTGTCAGAATGTATTTGTTTATCCGTGTTTCTGGGTCTTTCACCGACTAGTTTTGATCATTTGGTCAATGTGATTCATTCCTTTTGTAACAGTGCGCGATTTTATGAAGACAACAAAGAGGGAGCGAACACATTATAATGTCGGTTTCATCTTTTAATATAAAATCAGTTCGTATTTACATACTCGAATGGAAAACTTAATCACTGGCATTTCAATATGTATATATGCATTATGTATATATAAATTATTCATGATAAAATATATATCGACAAAATCCGTATAAAAATATTTATTGAACCCTGTAGAGTCGTAGAATGCGACGTCATTTCAAACATCAATATGAAACGTTTCTGATGTAAGATATATATGGGATAGTAAGAAATTCGGACTGAGCATCATTGTCAACATAGGTGTTAAAATCAATTACAAATTTACTACTAGACATGTTGGAAACGTAACTAAAATAGCACAGTGAACGTTTGGAATACGCCAAGGGTACAGTATGTAAAAGATCAACATTTCATTTAATATTATCAATATATATATATATTTGTTTAAATATTGTGTCTATTTCAACAAGTTACAAGAATTTCCATACCATTGTATGATTAACGCAATTTAAGTGTCCATGGACGACAATCATAGATTATTAATTGTGTTATTTTATCAATTCTGTCAAATCGAGGAGTCAAAATGCACGTTTTGGAGTGTCCGGAAAAACTCACAATAGCAAAGCGTCAGGAAAATCCTAATCATCGAAATGATTGCTATTAAGGTGTAATCTGTGCCAACTGAGGTGACGTGCAAAGCGTTGATGTAACGTATGTAAATATGGTACCGAAATAATGTTATTGTATTTATCTAATAAATAAGCGACTCTAATGCAAAATGTAAAATTAAAAAAGCAATTAAAAAATACAAACGTGTTCACAAATATACAGTGTAAATACCGTCAAACACTATTTTAACACACAACATTCTGACTCTAAGTTACTTCTAGAAAAAAATCTTTCCATGATGAAATATGTTATTTTCACCATGAAATAAACAGATGTTACAGTTACTGAAGTTTCGAGAACGAATTATTTATTTTATTCGAGTAATTTGCACAAGATAACTAAATGCATTGGAAATGTGAATATAAGTAATGAATTGCCTTATGGATGTAATAAAATGGTTTTACTGGCAAACAATTAAGCTTTTCACCTCATAACACACTATCTGATAACAGGATGACATTGTTACACTATCGTGTACCTGGTCTGATGTGTTCGTGACGGCGAAGCATACCGTGCATTTACGTTTTGACTTTTGTCCTAGAGATCTGTTGATGTAAAAATGAACACAATCACTTTTGAAAAAGTAACAAACTAGCTGTTCGTCGGTTGATAGTAACTACTTCATGTAGTTTTCGTTCAATCTCAATGACTGTTGTACCTGGATGATGTTTAGCGCTTAGGTCATTGCGTATCTTATTCATAAAGTAATTCTCGAAGTGGTGCTTTTAAAGTGAAATAACTAGTATTTTCAACGGAGGTACCGGAATCTGGATAAGGATTCAAAAATATTTGATATAGAGTTTGTAATAAGAGAGATAATTACGGATTTAATGTGTCACGTTTAGGAAAAATATACTATTACCTGACCTATTTATAAATGCATCCCTTATCATTACTCGCATGACTACATCTTTTTAGTTCATTCGGAAGAGGGTCATCCTAGTAAACGAGATATCCCAGATTCGATCGTCAGCGGAGGCATTGTCAATTAAGATATTACATTTTTTAATAATCAAGTCACATTAATACTTCTTTAGAATGGATATAATTTCTCTATAGTCAGATTTGATAGTGGTGCTTGGATTTGCCAAGCACCAACATTCTCCTGTGTTGAAACATTTGCCAATATGTTCATCAAATAGCAAAGATGAAGTAATTTCAACATTTCCTCTACCCAATTTGTGTGTCAATAATGAATGCACATTTTGTATTCGGGTCTACCTATCATGTTTACGATTTGATATGGGCTTATTGAATTGATTTAATCATCAGTGCCAAATTACGTCCACCCATAAACCCACGTATAAATTCGACATGGTCTTATCCGTTCTAAAAGCCAAACGTAGAGTGTTAACCTTTAATATCACACGTTTTCATAAAGTGCTAATAATATTGGCATATAAACAAATGTAAAGAACACTTTAGCCTTATACGTCGACATGGTGGAGAACACAAGCTTACCCGGACATGGTTCAGATCACAAGCTTCCACGGACATGGTTGAGAATGCAAGCTTACAAAGACATGGTTGAGAACACAAGCTTACATGGTCAAGGTTGAGAACAGAAGCTTACCCGGACATGGTTGAGAACACAAGCGTACCCAGACATCGTTGAGAACACAAGCTTACCCGGACATCGTTGAGAATACAAGCTTACCTGGACATGATTGAGAACACGAGCTTACACGAACATGGTTGAAAATACAAGCTTCCAGGCATGGTTGAGAACACCAGCTTAAGCGTTATAGACTGTCTATATTGATCATGTACATAACGAAACTATGTGCTTTAATGCCGGCATTCAGATGAAGTTCAGTTTTAATTTAACTCAGTTTGAATAAATACTTATGTTAAAGCTCCGGTATCAATGAAGACCTTATAATAAAACGTTTTGTAATTAGTGAAGTAAATACCTGCCGTCATCGCGATTATATGATATGAACCCTCCGCACCACGCACATTACAGTTAAAAATCTTAATCCTAAAGGTTTGAACAAACAGAGGTATACACCAGACTTCAAGGTTCGACAATAACATCAATACCAAATATCCGATAATAAACTTTAAAAGTCACGATATGAACTTTCGAAGGCATATATTATAGGACTAAGGTATACGCATGACATGTTATTACGAACTCGTACAAACTATACCGTTACTAATGGGCATAGACGGAATTTAGATTTTAAAAAGGGGGCGGAGGGGTGGGGGAAGGATTTATACGGCGAGTGCAATTACGAACACATTGAGCAGTTAAAGAATCAGGATAAATACAAAATGCATGTAATGCACAATCATATATCAAATGCTAAACGTTACACAATCACATATGAAATGCTAAACGATACACAATCACATACCAAATGCTAAACGTTACACAATCACATATGAAATGCTAAACGATACACAATCACATACCAAATGCTAAACGTTACACAATCACATACCAAATGCTAAACGTTACACAATCACATATGAAATGCTAAACGATACACAATCACATACCAAATGCTAAACGTTACACAATCACATACCAAATGCTAAACGTTACACAATCACATATCAAATGCTAAACGTTACACAATCACATACCAAATGCTAAACGTGACACAATCACATACCAAATGCTAAACGTTACACAATCACATATGAAATGCTAAACGTTACACAATCACATATGAATTGCTAAACGTTACACAATCACATGTCAAATGCTAAACGTTACACAATCACATACCAAATGCTAAACGTTACACAATCACATACCAAATGCTAAACGTTACACAATCACATATCAAATGCTAAACGTTACACAATCACATATGATGAAATGCTAAACGTGACACAATCACATACCAAATGCTAAACGTTACACAATCACATATGATGAAATGCTAAACGTTACACAATCACATATCAAATGCTAAACGTTACACAATCACAATATTACTTATACCTAGTACACTTTCTCAATGGTCAGTAATGATTAGATGGTTTACTGGCATTTCCTAGTATTTCGTATGTCCTGTTGAACTCTGCGTTTCGTGAACGGATTTAGGAGGACAACCGTGATCAGTGATAGCATCCCGTAAACTACCATTGCCGAAAACATGCTGGTTGTGTCCGGTTGAACTATTTCCCGATCAAAGTTGTCAACGTACGTCTGAAGGTCGATGTATGCAGCCTTGAATTCCAGTAGTGTCCCGACTATACACAGAACATGGAATATCTGATGACCTTGACCGACGATGTCGAACTTTCCCGGCAAGAATCGTTCTGGAAAATGACTAGAGAAGAAGAAAATGGAGATGGTGGCTACCATAAAGACACTTGTATGGTGGTTTAGAGATGACAGCGAACAGTTCATGTCCAGATAGCAATCCCAGTACCGTGTTATTACCAGGCCAAACGCGACTAAGGCTTGAAAACCGAAGGAACAGACATTCCAAAGTTTACGCTGAAACGGATAAGGACGATGGTACCGCAGTTTGGCTACACTAGAACATAGGAAACCAACCCAACTTAGCAGGACGTTGACAGGAAGTAAATAATGCTCCAACATTGAGTAGAAATGGCGGTGGCAACTGCAATGGAACGTGACGATAGCCATACCGAGGCTGAAGTATCCGATGCCCAAATAGTCGAGCTGGAAACAGGTGTAGTGTATCAGGGCAGACTTGGAGTGGAAAGTATGAGCGAAGGTGCTTATGGCAGTGTAAATTAGGCAGCATAGTCCGAATGCGAGTATTACAAACCAATGTGAATTGTCGGCACTTATGTAAACGGTCAAATACCTGTACATGATGCAAAGGATGGTACAGAACCCGAGCAGGTGCGACCAAATGTTGACCGATTCATTGTGAATTTGAACAACGCTGAACAGGTAGAAGGCCCATGGCTTATTTTGTGGGCGGAATCCCGTGAGCACCCCCGGTTCCCGGAACAGAAGATGGGTATCTTCTGCCGACACCGTGTGCTGGACCCTCATACAACCAGTCATCAACTGCACCACTCCAGGCAATGACCACGGCCCCATGTCTTCACATCTGTTTATGGAAAATATTAATAATTAAAATATTGATCAAATTGTTATTGGGTCGATAATGCATACTAGATGACAGAAAGTGGAGGCAAAGCTCATTGGCAATTCTATATCGTCATTGAACCCCACCTCACTTGTAACATCTGTCTGACTATGAATCGGTAAATTTGTACAGAATTAGCTCCTTGCTTCACTTATTTCATTTTAAAAGCAATATCAGACCGATAACCGACGACAGCGTATGTCCTTTATTGTGGACAGTTTTCTTTGCAACAAGGGTGGGACCATGACGTACAAATATATATAGCCTGTGATATAGGTTTTGAGTACTAAAAGACCACAGCAGGTCCTTGTATTGATCCGTCCGACTTCTTCATTTTTTACCTGAGGTGAACTTAAAACATTTATACAGAGATTGCTACTAGTACTGCATATACGTTCACAGTTACAGGTGTTTTGTTTCAATAAAACGAGATGAATAAAAGTAATTAAAAACTATATATTTTCCAATTACAATGTATTTTTACAACATAATTTTGTTACACTTTAAGTCAGCAAACAACGAACACATTTTCAAATTTGTCTTTAATTCACAACTTAAAAGCCTTTGCTCATAAAGTGTGTCATGTGAATGTAAGAACTTGTGTATTTCAGCATGATTTACCAAAAAATAGCGCATGTTCTCATGAAATTACACCTTTATTCTGGGAAAACCTATCTTTGTATTAGAAATCCTGTTTTCAAGAATTAAACTACCATACGGTATGATGTAATGATGAACGCCATGTTTCAGCGTATTATCATGGGTGTTGGTTTTGAACCTCTTGTATAAACAAAATTTCATTTCCATGAGCTGCCCCTATCATCCCCTCGTTATATGCCGACATCTTTCGTTGAAAAATCCCTCTGGATCTCTAGTTCTAATACACGTGATAAGTTTTAACTCATAACTTCAGTGAGTTATCTCCTCTTCTCCACGGCGATAACTGGTTATGGTCCAGTGTTTATTATGCGTTGTGCGCCAACATTTATTTTTTGATTTTATTTATTTATCTATTCATTTATTTATTCAAAATCATTCAAAATTGTTAAGCTTTTATGATCTTGATAATCTGAAACAACTTTCAACACTGTTTCGTATATGTATATGAATTAACAAATATCCTGGTCTGTATTTGGAAATGTCTTTATCGAAGCCCTAGAGAGAGACTACACGGGAATTACAAAATCTATATTTCTTAAGAACGAAGAAATGAATATGTGTATCATACAAACAGGTCATGCCAGGTCAACAGACAGCCTATCAATATAAAACTCGTATTCATTGAGAATAACCTAGCAGTGGGACTCTTTCTCCGGTTAACAAGGTATAAAAAATATATCTTCCTCGGTATAAGAGCAATTTCCATTTTGATATTATGATAAAAAGTCACATTAAATTATTCATATACGTAGAAATAGTGAACAGGTGATGGATTAAAAGTACTATGTACTTTAGTGATAAAATCTATGATGCGGGTAGTAATTGGTTCCCGAGTCTATACGCGGCATTCATTAGATGGACTAGAAATTGATTTACCTGTTTACGTGAAGATACGCTTCATCGATCAAATGAAAAACGGAATTAAGAATCTATGAATAAATGTGTAGAATTATGATGGTAGTACTGTCGTCACCATGGAAGAAGTAGCTAGCATTCTCAAATAAGGGTTCTGGATTGTTGACTTCAACTTTGTGAATAACAAAAACTGTGTTTTTATTTTCATGACCAAAACCATACATTATTTACAGGAACGATCTACGTATACTACATTTAATATCGACAGCAAAAATACAAATTATACATTATAAAGACATGTACAGTACATCAGAAACAAATTCCTCCTATATTTACACAAAAATAAAAACAAAAAATATTAAAAAAAAAAAAAAAAAAAACTACCTACAAAGAACTGGCACTTAAATATAAAAACAACACGGGTGAAATGGAGACATCACACGAACTTAAACATAGGTATAATTTTAACAGTTACATCTGTGAAGTTGAAGACCTAAATTGACCTTGGTGTTGAGTTTTTCCATAAAAATAAACCCACTGCAAAATTACTCGGGTAATCGCCGGTGAGTAACTGCAGAAGTCAACTATATATTAACAAGAAATAGAATTCTCGGGCGATAAGTGTAATTGATGGTACGGTTATCAATCATATCATGGATATAACTAAGTGTACGTGAATCTATGGTTATCTAGGTATTCTCGTTACTCGTGTGTAAATAAAGAGCCTACCTTTCTGGTACAGATTTGGCCGGGCCTCTGTCACTGCCCTTTCTCGAATAGGTTGTATTTCTCCGTGACGGCCAGCACGCGGTCGACCAGGCAGCCAATGAGCGCCAGGAGAAAGATGTAGACACAGAGTGATAGGAAACTCTCCATGTCTGTTGGTCTGTTTCATGTGATAGATGAATAACGTGCAGGAGTAGGCACGCTATGTTTAGAAAATGTACAGGGCCTTTTAATTGGGAACAGGGCCGAGTAGTGCCGAACGTCTACCTGGTTGTCAAGATAAACAACAGGTACTCGGGACACTACCGACTGGCCAGTCTTCTTTATAAACAATCAGTCGAGCGGACGTAACGCACCAATAATTTCTGAATCGATTTTCTTTCTCCGTGCTGTATACAGTATACACTATTGTAAGTAATATACCTACTGTGTGAGCTATTCATTTAAATTTTGTATAAATTGATCAACTTCTAATATAAAGGTCAGGGGAAAGATAGGCCAGTCGATGTAGTGTAAACCATGAAAGTAGTTTTTTTTGAGTACAGTTAAAAGTAGACCAAATCAGAGGTTACATAAAACTGCGTGGTACCATATCTATATATGATAAACACGGTCACAACCTGTTGGTTGTCTGATAAAAAAAAATGAAAATACCAACAAGGCAATATAATCATAATTCAAACTCGAATTCGATAGAACTAGGACAAAATATGAACATAAGAAATATTTACAATGAAACAACTTAAAAACTACAAGGGGGGGGGGGGGGGGGGGAAAGACCAGGGCCCGTATTCTTGAAACCATTCTCATGCTCAAGCATAGATTTTGTGCTCAAACAGGTTTTTTATAATTCGCCCAAATCATGTAAAATAATACAAATGTCAAATATAAACATTGAATATAACTTTGACTTGCAGTCCTTTCAAAATGCTTTTAAAATCTTTGGCAAAATCAGCCTTATTTATTAATGGTTGTGAGGTTGATTGTGAGGAAGTATAACGGTCCTCATATTGGTCTCATTGAGAAATGTTTTTTCCTGATGGGATAAGTTTTGTGCCCGTATATTCATGATGATTCCATTGTTATTGGCAGTGTTTTCATTTGGGAAGGAGATATTCTTTGAGTTACCAAGATATTCCTGTCACCAATGGATTTTTATGGTCTCCTCGTAAATTTCTCTTTTGTTTGAATGAAAATTTTGACGAGATGGTGTTCTTTTATATCAATAGTGATTAATGAAGGGAGACGACTCCTCTTCAGTAAAAACAAACATTTCAACGTTGATATCTACAAAACATGAAATACACACCTGGTATCAAACATCTTTCATATTTAAAAGGCTTCCCGAATCACTCCATAACGAGAACGATTAAAATTGAGAAAGGTAAATAATGTTACAGCTGTTGTGGTGGGTTTTGTTTTCCTGTTATCACTGAAAAAAATAATACGCATCGATCTCAGGTCGGTCGCCTTTCTCAAAAAAGAGTTGACGTACGTTATATCACATCGGTTCACCATATTGCATGTACGTATCTCTTTTATACGATTAAAATTTACTTGTCGATTTTTTAAAATTTCCAAAATAGTAATTTTGCACATGAAATCGCTGATGTATTTTTAAGTGTTTCAAAAATGTAAACCACATTTCGATTTGAATTCGACTCCTAAATATATGTGATAAGTGATATCCTGTACATCCTTGAAGGTTACCTGATGACGGTCGGCTACATACAATATTTGCCCACTAACGTTCCGTCCATCCCTGGAGTTTCCCTGCTGACGTTCTGCTAGACAGTATTTGCCTACTGATATCCTGGCCATCCTGGATGTTTCTCTAAAAACGTTCGTTTCCGGACACCTGCATTTTAACGTTACGCTGCCGTCGTTCGTTACCAGAGAGAAGAAATGCCTGCTGATGTGCTTATACTTGCAATGTTTTCTCATTAGGGTGGGAAGGACGTAAACAAATCGCTTTTAATATATGCATTTTGAAACATATCATAAGAAAAGATGTATTGTTTTTGAAAATAGAAATTTAAAGAGAAATACCAGTGGAAAGAATACAAATACATTGTTTAGTTTTAAAGCGAAATAACAATGAAAACAAGAGAAGATGCACTATTTTAATTTGAAGGCGATATACGAATGGAGTAAATACAAGAACAGCATTTAATTTTAAACCTATGTATAAAATGTAAGGCGCACTTTTTCGTTTGTTAACAGACCACTAAAATCACTGAGGTCTGACGTTCTATCAATAATTGAAGACAAGAGCTATTTTTATAACGATTATAATATATTCCCATTGACAGGTGTCAGACTCATGTGACAAAATACAATTACAAAGTATATACAATTTCATTTTACATTCGATTCGGCATAACCTTGGTGTAATTGAATACACGAAAAACATCTCTTGTTTTGACTGAATGTAAAATAAATGAAAATTAACAACACTAGATACACCATTCATCGACAGGAATAACAATAAAATGCACAGGATGTATGAGAAATATGATAAAGTCAGGAAACAAACTTCCGCTTTGATGCTAAGACATACCGGATCCAATATAAACATATTTGAAGTGAACAAACAAACAAAGAAACAAGTAACATATTATTAAAACGGGAATCTTTTGATGAGTTTTTGTCGAAAAGTGTAACAGGCATGGCAGTACAATTTTAATCTCTAACCTCAGCCATTGATGGATATTCTTATATTTTTATCGGTGCTACTTGCCAAGAAAGATCTATCAAAGTTACCAGTAATTCGGTAAGGCGATGAATGTTAATAAAACACGATTTGAATTTATCAAATCTAAACGCCTCTAGAGATGTTTTCATTTACCGGTACCTGCATCATTTCCAGACCTACGTATTCATTATACATGTGTGGAGGTGACAACATAAAAATGCCTCTAGCATTTAATCCCGACCTAGCTACAAGCAAATGTGGATTATTTCACTTTAATATTCGCAAGTCGTTCAATATAACTGATTAAGTTTTTTTTATATAAACCTGATTTGCCTCAATTACTAGTTATAACATTTCAGTATACAATTATTAGCACTAATGTGTCCAGCGTCAGCATATTTAGATAAAGAAACATTAACTTCTTACAATAGCATGCCCATCACCATGTTTTTTTTTTTTTTTTTTTTTTATAGAAATCAGTATTTCTGAACAAACTTATATTCCTTTAAAGCCTGTTTATTGTTTTATATAATACACGCTTTTTTATTTTTGTCTATCTCTACCGGGTTAATGTATCCTGACGTCGTGATGTCTTTGGGACACCAATTACCGCCAGTTTCCCGTTACAAATTACGTCACACTAATGAATTACGGAACTAATTTTAGTTACTGATTAGTACATGTATTTCTACGTAATTGGTAATATATTGGTTTATATGTATATATCAATAATGTGGAATATATCAGATTTAAAGACGAAAATTATGTGAAATCAGTTATTATGACATGATAACTGGAAATGATGAATCGTTTTATATTAATTTTGATCATGATTAAACGATTAACAGTTTAATTATATTAAATCAATAATTATCCCTATCTGCTGTAAATATTTCATTTTCTCAAGAGTTTCTGTTTTCTGTGTTTGCTAGGGTAGAAAAACCCATAAGAAACAGATAATTCCTTGAGAAAAAGATTGATTACGAGAATCGTAGATCATTTAATGATTTCCGACAGAATGTCATCAATTTAATTTCAAACATTTGGAGAATAAACAACATTTAACATAAATGTTAGACCGAAAATTTGGAAAAGTCGTTGAAACGCAATGTAGATTGAACAGTAAGATGGTATTTGGGAGTTTCAAGTGTATGATCGGTCACAACAATAGCAATCTGAAATGACTATATAAAGACAGTATGATGATCAAAAGAGCATTTATACACCAGGTGGCGATACCGGTACTTTTGAATATCAATTATCATACTAGAAATTACTGGATCCCGGTGTTTCGCAGTGTATGTGGTACATTAGTATTGAGGAGCCGAACACTTTAATTGTTCACACTGACGTTATTCATTCTCATCATATATATCAGCAATAAAGAGAGGACATACATAAGGTTAGTGAGCATAAACACATCATTGTATACATCAGAGACGTATATAACACATATATACGTCTCTGTATACATGTACAAAATACAATCAAGTAATGTAATGAAGATGTAATTTGAATGATTAGGTTGAACACATAGGGTTTACATTCTGTGTTTGATAGACTTTGTCAAAAAATCCAATAAAGCGTAATATTAAGCTAAAACGATTACAGTATTACGATCACATTGAACACCAATGTTTATGTTTCCGGCAAATAATCTCTTACCGAAGCTTACATGCTATACTGTGTGTATGTATCTACGTATCATGGGCGAGTATATCTGTTATATGTAGTGTAAGTAACGGATTGTGAGGTTAAACACGTGTCTGTTATATGAAGTGTAAGTAACGGATTGTGTGGTTAAACACGTGTCTGTTATATGTAGTGTAAGTAACGGACTGTGAGGTTAAACACGTGTCTGTTATATGTTGTGTAAGTAACGGATTGTGAGGTAAAACATATGTCTGTTATATGTAGTGTAAGTAACGGATTGTGTGGTTAAACGTCTTATCAAGAAACACGATTTTGTTAACACTTATGAACCTTCAATTTGTGTAAGGTGTGCAGAGAAAGACGTGTCTGTTATATGTTGCGTAAGTAACGGATTGTGAGGTAAAACATATGTCTGTTATATGTAGTGTAAGTAACGGATTGTGTGGTTAAACACGTGTCTGTTATATGTAGTGTAAGTAACGGATTGTGAGGTTAAACACGTGTCTTTTACATGTAGTGTAGGTAACGGATTGTGAGGTTAAACACGTGTCTGTTATATGAAGTGTAGTGTAAGTAACGGACTGTGAGGTAAAACACGTGTCTGTTATATGTAGTGTAAGTAACGGATTATGAGGTTAAACGTCTTATCAAGAAGATTTTTCACACTGAACCTTCAATTTCAAGGTGTGCAGAGAAAGAGCGAAGACCCAGTACATCTGGTGGCTGACGAGAAAAGAAAGCCACTAGATCCAGTGGCTAACGAGAAAAGAAAGCCACTAGATGCGGTGGCTAACAAGAAAAGAAACCCACGAGATCCGGTGGCTAATGAGAAAAGAAACCCACGAGATCCGGTGGCTAATGAGAAACGAAACCCACTAGATCCGGTGGCTAACGAGAAAAGAAAGTCACTATATCCGGTGGCTGACGAGAAAAAAAGTCACTAGATCCGGTGGCTAACGAGAAAAGAAAGTCACTAGGTCCGGTGGCTAACCAGAAAAGAAAGTCACTAGATCCGATGGTTGACGAGAAAAGAAAGTCACTAGATCCGATGGCTGACGAGAAAAGAAAGTCACTAGATCCGGTGGCTAACCAGAAAAGAAAGTCACTAGATCCGGTGGCTAACCAGAAAAGAAAGTCACTATATCCGGTGGCTGACGAGAAAAGAAAGTCACTAGATCCGGTGACTGACGAGAAAAGAAACCCACTAGAGCCGGTGACTTATGAGAAAAGAAACCCACTAGAGCCGGTGGCTTACCAGAACGGCTACTAAACCCATTAGGAGATACAAGAAGGCATGTACGCTGAGGCCTCTAGCGCCATCCTCCACTACAAATGGTGGGTCGGTAACCCCTCCACAGTCAGATCGCAAAATGGACAGTAGCATGTCTCGGCCCGTGGCAACCATAGTTTGGACGGTTGTATCGTTGCACTTCGTTTCCACTATGTCCAGGATACAGTTTACAAAGGACTTGACGGGGCTAAAACATAGATTGGACAGTCATGTTTTAAATATGATAGATATATTCATACAGTTAAATTTATAGATACTTTGTCTATCGATTAGATAATTGAAAAAAAAATAAGTTCAACAATTCAACACAAATATTTGTTTCACTAACGTTAAAGACCAAAAGGTCATCTTTAGGCGATTTATCTATTTCATATCTTGGTTACCATACTACGTCACACATAATAAGTAGAAAACCAAGGAAAAACAACTTTCATTTATGCCATAAAGCGATTTACCTGCAGAATCTATTTCTGATGTCTATCCCGTCTACGGCGTTTATCTCACTAACGTTATCGAAGATTTCAAATTCGGTCTGAAGTTCTGGAGTCAAACACATCTGTATAGAGGCCGAATTGTTTGGTTGCATCATACAGTTTATCGCACTCTGAAAACCTGTAAAAGACATTAAAGGTCGCCATATATTTATATAACATAAATACAAACTGACACACTAAACAGTGCTTGTGTTCTTGGTAGAATCGGTTATTCCAATCCATTTGGATCGTACGATTCTACTAGTCTCTCACATTTGGCGTTTTTTCCCTTAATGCCCCTTTATTTCGTAAACAGTTGCATTAATTTAGAAAATTCATTTATATTATCAATAGATATTTTAGATTACACTATGGCGCACTGAGGATGTCTGTTTTAATTATACTCTATGAATGTGTGTAGGCTTAACATCTAATTTACAAATAATCCCTCCTCCAATAACGATATTTTGTATTTCGAATGATAATGATCCAAAATATTACGATTTTATTCCAGAAACAGAATACACCAAGTGTTTGAGTTGTGTTTGATAATCAAAAGTAAATTTCATAAATCTGAAAGTATTATCAAATATCATTAGCAACTGAAGTCAAAGCAGAAAAGTTTACATGTCAAGTTAATTAACGTGTCATATTTAAAAAATTTCTCAGAATATTTAGATACACTTAATTCCAGAAAGGTTTCCAAATCTGCCGGAAAAAGATCCTCTTATTTTGAACGCTTAGGTCGAGTCAGGATATTTCGCTCCATACCGCTTTATTAAAAATGCCGAAACATCTAATGTTAATGAACTGTCCCTTATATAAATGCGTGTAATTTGGTTTAGATTTTTAACACCTTAACACGACTTAAACGTCATAGAAATGTAAAACAAATTCTACATATACTCTTAGCTTTGAAATGTTAGTGATTCATACTGTGCCATAGAACATTATGTAAACGATCACCGGAAATAAGTTAAATTATATTAACATATTAACTATTGTTTTGACGTTCAACATATCTACTGCTATTGGTAAAACTTCATCGTCATTGGAAGACTCTTTTCACTGTTTTTTTTTTCTCACAATTATATACAAAGATTGTATGAAAGACCCACAAGAGGATAGCACCTTTCCATACAAATCTAGAGTTAGACACGATAGAGCCAAAATCTTTAATTTGAGGCTGTTCTAAGAACAGTTACATGGTAGAGGGAGGGAGTGTCAACCAGACTGTAAGTTAGAGGATGTTCTAGGAACTGTTACAGGGTAGAGGGAGGGAATGTCAACCAGACTGTAAGTTAGAGGATGTTCTAGGAACTGTTACAGGATAGAGGGAGGGAGTGTCAACCAGACTGTAAGTTAGAGGGTGTTCTTGGAACTGTTACAAGGTAGAGGGAGGGAGTGTCAACCAGACTGTAAGTTAGAGGATGTTCTAGGAACTGTTACAGGATAGAGGGAGGGAGTGTCATCCAGACTGTAAGTTAGAGGATGTTCTAGGAACTGTTACAGGATAGAGGGAGGGAGTGTCAACCAGACAGTAAGTTAGAGAATGTTCTAGGGACTGTTACAGGGTAGAGGGAGGGAGTGTCAACCAGACTGTAAGTTAGAGGATGTTCTAGGAACTGTTACAGGGTAGAGGGAGGGAATTTTAACCAGACTGTAAGTTAGAGGATGTTCTAGGAACTGTTACAGGGTAGAGGGAGGGAGTGTCAACCAGACTGTAAGTTAGAGGATGTTCTAGGAACTGTTACAGGATAGAGGGAGGGAGTGTCATCCAGACTGTAAGTTAGAGGATGTTCTAGGAACTGTTACAGGGTAGAGGGAGGGAGTGTCAACCAGACTGTAAGTTAGAGGATGTTCTAGGAACTGTTACAGGATAGAGGGAGGGAGTGTCATCCAGACTGTAAGTTAGAGGATGTTCTAGGAACTGTTACAGGGTAGAGGGAGGGAATTTTAACCAGACTGTAAGTTAGAGGATGTTTTAGGAACTGTTACAGGATAGAGGGAGGGAGTGTCATCCAGACTGTAAGTTAGAGAATTTCTAGGGACTGTTACAGGGTAGAGGGAGGGAATTTCAAACAGACTGTAAGTTAGAGGATGTTCTTGGAACTGTTACAGGGTAGAGGGAGGGAATTTCAAACAGACTGTAAGTTATGGGGATGATCTAAGAACTGTTACAGGGTAGAGGGAGGGAGTGTCAACCAGACTGTAAGTTAGAGGATGTTCTAGGAACTGTTACAGGGTAGAGGGAGGGAGTGTCAACCAGACTGTAAGTTAGAGGATGTTCTAGGAACTGTTACAGGATAGAGGGAGGGAGTGTCAACCAGACTGTAAGTTAGAGGATGTTCTAGGAACTGTTACAGGGTAGAGGGAGGGAGTGTCAACCAGACTGTAAGTTAGAGGATGTTCTAGGAACTGTTACAGGATAGAGGGAGGGAGTGTCATCCAGACTGTAAGTTAGAGGATGTTCTAGGAACTGTTACAGGATAGAGGGAGGGAGTGTCATCTAGACTGTAAGTTAGAGAATGTTCTAGGGACTGTTACAGGGTAGAGGGAGGGAATTTCAAACAGACTGTAAGTTAGAGGATGTTCTTGGAACTGTTACAGGGTAGAGGGAGGGAATTTCAACCAGACTGTAAGTTAGAGGATGTTCTAGGGACTGTTACAAGGTAGAGGGAGGGAGTGTCAACCAGACTGTAAGTTAGAGGATGTTCTAGGAACTGTTACAGGATAGAGGGAGGGAATGTCATCCAGACTGTAAGTTAGAGGATGTTCTAGGAACTGTTACAGGATAGAGGGAGGGAGTGTCATCCAGACTGTAAGTTAGAGGATGTTCTAGGAACTGTTACAGGGTAGAGGGAGGGAGTGTCAACCAGACTGTAAGTTAGAGGATGTTCTAGGAACTGTTACAGGGTAGAGGGAGGGAATTTCAACCAGACTGTAAGTTAGAGGATGTTCTAGGAACTGTTACAAGGTAGAGGGAGGGAGTGTCAACCAGACTGTAAGTTAGAGGATGTTCTAGGAACTGTTACAGGATAGAGGGAGGGAATGTCATCCAGACTGTAAGTTAGAGGATGTTCTAGGAACTGTTACAGGATAGAGGGAGGGAGTGTCATCCAGACTGTAAGTTAGAGAATGTTCTAGGGACTGTTACAGGGTAGAGGGAGGGAATTTCAACCAGACTGTAAGTTAGAGGATGTTCTAGGAACTGTTACAAGGTAGAGGGAGGGAGTGTCAACCAGACTGTAAGTTAGAGGATGTTCTAGGAACTGTTACAGGGTAGAGGGAGGGAGTGTCAACCAGACTGTCCTTCAAATCGCTTCTTTGAGAAAAGAAACAAATATACATTGTGCTAAGTGAAATTACTGCAGTATTGAAATATTTAAAAAAATTATAATAGCAAACATTACCTAATTTTTTAGAAGGAGTACAGAAACCGTCGGCTATGGCCGGTTCATTTGCATTCAGTCTGTTCATGTCCATCATATTAAGAAGAAATACGTCGAGAAAAATGGTTGACGTAGGCATATAGTGCTCTACACAGTCAATCAAATGTGCGAGGCGACTGAAATAAAGGGTGTGATATATCAGAATACACAAAACCTAAAATGTAATATATGACTGCATATTGTCGTATAGAACATCACCGTCCGATAAGTGTTTAATTTGATCTTAAGTCTCGTATGTTACCGTTATATGGGAGATTTTATTGTTTAACTGAATGCATGGGAAAGGTTAGGATAAGGACAGCACTAACAGAGATATCAAATTCCGCTATCCACTCGTAATGATAGCTGTAATGATCATTGAATGACAAGCTTCGATGATTTTTAGATGAAAATATGACACAACCACCACGATGGCTTAACAATCTGGAAATCACACAACTGTCATTTAAAGCCCCAATATACGTAAAAATCAAGTCTCAAATCTGCGACAAGACTTCGCAAACAATGTTTGTAAACAAAGCTTACCTACACGCCCCTTCGATGACGGACATGATCATTGCGGAAATAGTCTCTGGTGAGGGTTCCTGACTGTCCATGAGCTGAAAGCCTAAATCTACGACAATCGGCATGTTACAGGTCACAAGTGCACTGTCAACTATGTTTTCTGGTTGGAGACCAGATGTCTGTTGTTTGCATTCAGACGTCATCAATCCGTAAGTCATGCCAGAAACTGCGTTGTGGATATTTGAACTGCATCCAAATGTCTGAGCTGCGATACATTTAGTGGTGTCTAACAGGCTTCTGCAATTACAAAGACAAAGACATCAGATCATTCGTCAGCAAAACGAGATAGTGTGAACACTATTCAGCTATAGAAATAGAGAAAACGTAGGGCAGAATATATAGATGGAGAAATTTAAAAAACAGAAAAACACTGGTCAGGATAGAAGATACTAGAACACTAGATATTACTAAGAGACAATGAGAACACAGGACAGGATACAGAGACAACGAGAACACTGGACAGGATATAGAGACAACGAGAACACTGGGCATGATAAAGAGAAAAAGAGAACACAGGACAGGATATAGAGACGGAGAGAAACCAGGACGGGATATAGAGACGGAGATAACACAGAAAATGATATAAAGACAACGAGAACACTGGACATGATAAAGAGATGGAGAGAACACTGGACATGATAAAGAGATAGAGAGAACACTGGACATGAGAAAGAGATGGAGAGAACACTGGACATGATATAGAGATGGAGAGAACGCAGGACATGATATAGAAATGGAGAGAACACAGGGCAGGATATAGAGACAACGAGAACACTGGACAGGATATAGAGACAACGAGAACACTGGGCATGATAAAGAGACGGAGAGAAAACAGGACAGGATATAGAGACAACGAAAACACTGGACAGGATATAGAGACAACGAGAACACTGGACAGGATATAGAGACAACGAGAACACTGGGCATGATAAAGAGAAAAAGAGAACACAGGACAGGATATAGAGACAACGAGAACACTGGACAGGATATAGAGACGGAGAGAAACCAGGACGGGATATAGAGACGGAGATAACACAGGACATGATATAAAGACAACGAGAACACTGGACATGATAAAGAGATGGAGAGAACACTGGACATGATATAGAGATAGAGAGAACACTGGACATGATAAAGAGATGGAGTGAACACAGGACATGATATAGAGATGGATAGAACACAGGACAGGATATAGAGACGGAGATAACACAGGACATGATATAAAGACAACGAGAACACTGGACATGATAAAGAGATGGCGAGAAAACAGGACAGGATATAGAGACAATGAGAGCACAGGACAGGGTATAGAGACAATGAGAACACAGGACAGGATATAGCGACGGAGAGAACAATGGACAGGATATAGAGACGGAGAGAACACAGGACAGGATATAGCGACGGAGAGAACACTGGACAGGATATAGAGACGGAGAGAACACAGGACATGATACAGAGGCGGATAGAACACATGACAGGATAAAGAGATGGAGGGAACACAGAACATGATAAAGAGATGAAGAGAACACATGACAGGATATAGAGACGGAGAGAACACATGACAGGATAAAGAGACGGAGAGAACACAGGACATGATATAGAGACGATGAGAACACAGGACAGGATAAAGAGATAGAGAGAACACAGGACATGATATAGAGATGGAGAGAACACAGGACAGGATATAGAGACAATGAGAGCACAGGACAGGATATAGAGACAATGAGAACACAGGACAGGATATAGAGATGGAGAGAACACTGGACAGGATATAGAGACGGAGAGAACACAGGACATGATACAGAGGCGGATGGAACACATGACAGGATAAAGAGATGGAGGGAACACAGAACATGATAAAGAGATGAAGAGAACACTGGACAGGATATAGAGACGGAGAGAACACATGACAGGATAAAGAGACGGAGAGAACACAGGACATGATATAGAGACGATGAGAACACAGGACAGGATAAAGAGATAGAGAGAACACAGGACATGATATAGAGATGGAGAGAACACAGGACAGGATATAGAGACAATGAGAGCACAGGACAGAATATAGAGACAATGAGAACACAGGACAGGATATAGAGATGGAGAGAACACTGGACAGGATATAGAGACAATGAGAACACAGGACAGGATATAGCGACGGAGAGAACACTGGACATGATATAGAGACGGAGAGAACACAGGACATGATACAGAGGCGGATAGAACACATGGCAGGATAAAGAGATGGAGGGAACACAGGACATGATAAAGAGATGAAGAGAACACTGGACAGGATATAGAGACGGAGAGAACACATGACAGGATAAAGAGACGGAGAGAACACAGGACATGATATAGAGACGATGAGAACACAGGACAGGATAAAGAGATAGAGAGAACACAGGACATGATATAGAGATGGAGAGAACACAGGACAGGATATAGAGACAATGAGAGCACAGGACAGAATATAGAGACAATGAGAACACAGGACAGGATATAGAGACGGAGAGAACACAGGGCATGATACAGAGGCGGAGAGAACACATGACAGGATAAAGAGACGGAGAGAACACAGGACATGATATAGAGATGGAGGGAACACAGGAAATGATAATGAGATGAAGAGAACACTGGACAGGATATAGAGACGGAAAGAACACAGGACAGGATAAAGAGATAGAGAGAACACAGGACATAATAAAGAGACGGAGAGAACACAGGACAGGATAAAGAGATAGAGAGAACACAGGACATAATAAAGAGACGGAGAGAACACATGACAGGATAAAGAGACGGAGAGAACACAGGACATGATATAGAGACGGAGAGAACACAGGACAGGATATAGAGGCGGAGAGAACACAGGACATGATATAGAGATGGAGAGAACACAGGACAGGATATAGAGATGGAGAGAACACTGCATAGGATACAGAGAAAGAATGAGCATTGTACAGGATGAAAAGTAAGAAAGAACAGTGCGAATGATATATAGAAAGAGAGATCACTGTTTAATTACTCGATTTAATTACTTTATTTGAATCAATTATACATATATACTAGATATTTTGATTAGCTTTGGTTACGTTTTTTAAAGGTTTTTAAAGTTTATCAGACGTTTCAGTAAATACCACACCCCGCTGAAAACTAAGATAAATACTAAAACACACCAGATGAAATGGTGTACATCCTCAACAGGATGTCAACATGGACAGTGATGATAATTAATTCACAAGAATTTGTTTGGAAATGATTCGGAAGATGACAATGGAAGATAAATATCCCCACACACCCATGGTACATGATACATACGTCAATTGCATGTCATGCTTGATTGATAAATCTACTTACGGACACAGTGAAGTCAAGACTACGTTGTCAGTTACACTAGGTGTAAGCATTATTAACTTTAGGAGTAAATCGTGCAAGCCAACACAAGAAGTTGAGCCTAAAATAATATCACTCAAACAGTCCGGTACTTCATTCCTGAGATCTACAAAATAACAAAAACAGCATAATTTTTAAATAATAAATAATATACCAAAACAAACCACAAAGTCATCATATTGTGTTGTAAAGCATCATCCCCATGGCATTAAGTTAAAAAAAAACCTCTACATGCGATAATGTAAAAAAAAAAACATCATATCATGCTGTAGAAAATCATCATGTCACAGAATATCTAGATAAAAAAACTCTCAACTTACGATAATGTAAAAAAAACATCATATCATGCTGTAGAAAATCATCATGTTACAGAATATCTAGATAAAAAAAACTTAATATACGACAATGTAAAAAAACCTTCATATCATGCTGTAGAAAATCACCTTGTTACAGAATATCTAGATAAAAAAAAAACACTGTTTCATAGAAAACTATTTCAAAACGCCTTATGCTGCTGATATAGATGTCATACCTTGTCCTACCGCACAGAAAGTACTGCCTAAGACTTGGGCTACTTGAGAAGTGTTGGCTATCACTTTTATCATTCTATCCGTCTGTCGAGTTGAGTTGGGCATGTTCGTATCCAGGCAAGTCTGGAATTCTGTCAAATTCCTTGCAAATAGAGGAGTTCCGATTGGAATATTTAATGTCTCCATGGCATATACAGTTAATCATTAGCCATCGTTGATTAGATGCTACCGTATGAATTTGATATTTAGACTAACGATTTACGAATCCAACATTTATGGTAGGAGAACGTGAAATCATGTAAATCAGGCAAATCAAATATCATCAATCAAAGCATTATGTGGAAAATAATCAACATCTGAAAAGAAATTTTCTAATCGTAACATGAAATTTACATCAATGGAAGTACAAATATATTGAACTGAAGCGCACATCGAATCTAGCATATTACAAAATCAGTATTTTTATGTGTCATTAGATTCCATTCCAGGTCTCACCTGCACACTCCCCTACTGACGATATCTGTCAGGTTTCTCTCATACTTCAACACCTCTTCCACGATTGCATATACGTCTGTATTGTCGGTAAACGTCATCCCCATGATTATTTTGTACATATCCGCAATAGTGCTCTCGTAGGAATTGCATGCACATTCCACGAAGTGGGAATCTAAAGCGCTGAAATAACCATATCATATTATCGCAGCATAAAAGAAAATTACTTCGATTTGATACAAGTAGATCATAATAGTAAATAATAATACCTGGGACTATGAAGTTGACAAAGGATGAGGGAAATATTTGAGACTAAAATTCAAATCTCCGACATTGCAAAAATACGTATCTATACAAACAAACCGGACTTGTACTCGTATGTAAGAACAAAACAAATTAATGTAGATAAACAAAATAAGATATAAAGTTCATGATGACAATATTAGAGAATTCCCTCGTTATTATATGTTGTCATTGAAAATTTCCATTCAGTTCAAACTTTATCATTATGTATATTGTATATCTACAGTAGGACCATGTTATCTTAAAGTCGACGAGACCGCAGCAAAAAGTTATCCAGGTATTCGATAAAAGTGAGTTAGGGTGTTTTGGTGTGAATTATGAACGGGACCAATTAAATACTTCGAATTAGACAGGTCTTGGTCAAATTATAGGAGTGATATATAGGAACATCATGTCTTA